GACGTGCTCGATGCACTGGATGGCGTGTGAGTTAGTCAGGAGCCTATACTTAAGGCTCGTTTCTTCCCCTTGCCCTTAGGCTTTGGGTCTGCAGTATTAACACAAATGGTGTCCTAGGAGGTGGTCACCTGTGTAGAATCGCCCTGTACAAGGTCACCTTGTATAAGGTCGCCCTGTGTAAGGTCGCCCTGTGTAAGGTCGCACTGTGGGGTATTGCCTTGTAGGATTAGGCTCAGCTTAATCCGTTGTTGGCTGAGATTATCTGTGCCGGCAGAGTTTGTCTCTCCTGGGTTGTGAAGATCTCGGTATCGCTTTGCTCCGGCGCGCTGGATAGTGTCAGATTCAAGCAAGTTCAGTGATTGGAGGTTGATTATTGGTGTATTGCATGTAGTGTCTTGTATCTGTTCTGTCTGTTCAGGTGCCCCTGATCGATTCCCAGTTTTTGGTGTTGGTCATCTCCGCCGTACCGTGGTTTTTCCGGTCGGACTTGGCTCATCTTCATGACCCCTGTTATCCAACAGATAGAAACAAGTTGCCTCTTCATAGGGCGTACTAGTTCTCTGTGCTTCCGCTTGAGGGCAGCTCCGGAATCGCAATGCCCTGTAGAGAAAGGACCTTGACAGTTTGCACAGCGTGCAGGGCGGTTACACTCCTTGTCGAGGTTATGCTCGCTGAGCCAATCACCGCAACGCCCGCAATGAGGGGCCCGGGTACATTTCCTGCTCAAGCAGTACCCTTGGCATCCTGGGTTATAGATGTTAATAGTAGGTTTCCTTTTAACCAGCCTTGAGCGGCCACTGTTATTAAAGAGGCTGAACGGCCTCACAGGCGCCAAGAAAGAGATCATCTAACTGCCTCTGCCTGTGATGGGGTCTGGGCCTTGCTTCAACGGCTTGTAGTTAACAGGGTGTGCTTTTGTCTGGGCATACACTTCATCCTTAATCACGTCCTGCGTCTGGATGTGACTGCCCATGTTCAAGTAGTCAGAGAAGTTCAAAGGGATGTCCGGCACCACGTAGGTTTTTTTTTTTTTTTTTTTTTTTTTGTATTTAACGTGGGGGTAGCTCCTCAGTAGTGCAGACCACGCCTCCCAGAGCCTCTGCATCGCAGGGTTGTGGAGGTCTCAAGATAATAAGTACAGTCAGTCCCGCTCACGGGCCCATCCCCGTTGTTGCGGCGGTATGACCTTGGGGTCATCCATCTGGTCCTTCAAGAATAGCTATCTATCGGAGACAGATTATTGAAAAGAACTTGCTCTTCTCCACGAATTTTGCCCATTCTGTGCTCCTCTCCCCTAAGTATTGTAAACAGGCTGTCCTAGGCGAGTACCTAGGCAATAACCGATTTTTTCCTAGCCTCTTACAAAAGAAAATGTGTTGTGGTGTTTTCTTTTCACCACAGCTGCAGTGGTTGTTCGAATCTGTATGCCCAAAGCGTTCGTGGTATCTGGCAAAGTCGCCATGTCCAGATCTGGCCGCTAGAAGTCTGTGTAGAGTGCTCCTCTTAAAGGATATAAGGCCTCTTTCAGTTACTGCATGTGAATATACTTCTTGATATCTAGGTTCTAATTGGTCTTTTCATTATTGGTTGAACTCTTTCTTGCCCTTTCTCTTGAGATCTCTCTTGACCCAAGAGATTGTAGGAAGATTTGTTGTGTCTGTTTCTAGCATAGCACCCTCTTTTATTAATATATCGGCAGCTTTGTTACCATCAATATCTCTGTGTCCAGGAATCCACTTGACGGTCACTCCAGGAGTGTGTGCTGTGGCGAGTTCTTGGAATCGCAGAAAATTTTTCTGTGATGTCTCGGGTGGAGTCCCATTAAGCCCATCCACCACTGATGTGTTGTCCAGGCAGACATATAGCTGTTTTCCGTGTCCAATTGCCCTGGCTGCTGCAAGACCTTGGAGAGCACCATGAACTTCAGCATCCACTACTTCTGCTTGTAGAAGTCTGCCCCTTCCCCGGTATACTTCTTGTGTAGTGCCGCCTTTCTTAATGGTATAGCCCCATCCAGTACGGGTTGTGCCTTGGTCGTCCAATTGTGATCCATCTGAATAAATGACAAGGTCAGTATTCGCATTTCTTTCCTGTAGCCATTGCTTGAAGAGCTTTATTTCTTTGTCTTTGTTTTTACGGATTGGGGGCTTCTTCCATAATGGCTTGGTGAGTATTGGTCTCTGGAAGTCAGGGACTAGTTGGAAGCTCCTTTATAGCCTTGTTGGTTCTTTGCGAGCTTGTATTTGGAACCTGCCAACAAGAGGGTGTCTCTGATCTACTCGTCCGAGTCGGAGGCCGTGACGTCTTCTTATTGACTCTGCAAGAATTCCTGCTGGAGGAATCTGTGATTCAAAGTGTGGGATATGTCCAGGGTGTGTTTTCCAGACTGGCAAGATAGCTCTGATTGCCGTTCGTAGTACAGCATCTATCGTTCTAAGAAGCCCTTTAATGTGACATGCTGATGTCCCACCTAAGCTCCTAATTTTTTCCATTCCTAGGTACCAGGCCTCCAGGCCATATGTAAGAATAGGAATAACACAAGTTTTCATAGGCCTCTTGGTTGACTTTACTGGAAGTCCTTTGACTGTGTTGCATAGTCCTCGAAGGTGGTTTGTTACCTTACTAGCTTTCTTGGCCCAGTAAGAAACGTGATCTTTGAAGTTCAGTTTTCTATCCAGGAAGACACCCAGCCATCGCATGGAGTTCTTTGTTGTTCTGTTTATTGTCCTGTGGCGGACCGGAGGATTGTCTGAGTTCTTTTTCCGTGAGAAGTGCATGATCTCGGTTTTGTCAGGGTCAAACTTAATAGCATTATTGTGTCCCTATTGATTGAGTAAATGATGGTTTTCAGAAGTCTCTGTAGCTGTTTCTTCAAGGTTCTTTCCAATGCAGAGTGTTGCTAGATCGTCTGCATATCCAAAGCGTCTCCTTTTCATACTGAGTCGGGCACAGATTGGCTCTGTATACAGCATATAAAGGATTGGAGAAGCTGGTGAGCCTTGTGGTAGCCCACAAGTGAGAGCTTTTATGTCGGTCACAATACCTTCAAACCGAACTCTTGCGGACCGTTCAGACATAAATGACTGGACCCATCTTATGAGAAAGTCTGGCCAGCCCTGTTCTCTCATGCAAACCACCAGCCGTCCCATTAGGGCAGCGTCGAAGGCCCCTGTCACATCTGCTGTGACTACCGTTACAACAAGGCCTTGGTCAAGGGCCTGCTCAATATCATGTATGAGTGCAGCTACCAAGTCGGCGGCAGAGCGCTTTGGCAGAGCTCCAAAATGTTGTGGAGCTAGAATTCCGAGTTTGATGACAAACCAGGCAATTCTTTTTGTAATGAGTCGTTCTAGGCCTTTACCAAGACATGATAATAGCAATATTGGTCTGTAGGCCCTGGGGTTAGAGTAGTCTTTCTTGCCTGGCTTTGGGATCATCACCACCTCAGCTACTTTGAATGATTTAGGGTGGTGTCCAATCTGTAGACAGGTCTGGAAAAGGGCTCTGATATGCTCCCCAATGACTGGCCAGCAAGCTTTCAGAATCCGTACTGTGAGGGTGTCTACTCCTGGGGAGTTGCTCTTGGTCCCTATAGTGCACTCTTCAGCCTCTTCTAGTCCGACATGGTATTCAAGGGGGATGTGTGGCTTGGCTTGTGTGATCTGAGCAGACCAGGGGTCGATAATATCGTTATCTGGGGTACTTCGTTCAAGCGTGGCTAAGCGTAGTGTATTTGCCTTGCTCTCTTGTGACTCAAAGATTTGGTCCCCTATGATGATTGGGGGGGAACACAATCCTGCTGACAGCTTGTGCCAGGAAACAATTCTGTACAGGTCTTTTGGTTCAATCGCTGAATCAATTAGAGTCTGCCAGTACTCTCTCTTAGCTTTTCGGACCACACAGCGAAATTCCCGTTGGGCTGAATTTCGCCCTTCTTGGCTTGTGGTTTGTTTAGAAAGGGCCCTGTATGTCTGAATAGCTGCTTTGCAGTCATCATTCCACCAAGCAGTGGGCCTAGATTGACGGGGCTTCTTGCCCACTGTCCTGATACAGCCTTGAATCATATTGATCAAGCTTTGTGTAAAGGTATCCACCTGGCCAGGAGATACACCCAGCCGGGGGAGTTCATGAATCCTGGTTTGGACATTGTCTGCCAGCTCTTATAGTTTATTGTCCGGTACTATCTAATGATTGGCCTTAAGAACTCGGTCCCGATCTCCCTGAATTGGAATGACTATTCGTAATGTCTCATGATCTGAGGTGCACTGAAGTGCATCATTGACTGAGGCTTCAGCCATGGGGACATCTGAGAACACCAGATCCAGTACATTTCCATCGTCATGTGTTGGGACATCTGGTTCAGAAATCAGATCCAGTCCGTGGTCTGCCATAGTCTGTTGTTAAGTATTAAAGATTTTATTATACTGCACACAAATACATTAATAAGTATAAACGCATGGATAATTTTTATAAAGAAAGGTGGTACTTGCCATTGTGATGAGCCGTCTAACCTATAATGCTAAAGGGTTCTATAGGGTTTATGTTCTGAGATAAGTCAACACAAAAGACGATAGAGGCTTCTGTCAACTAGAAGACACTCAGATGCTGGGGCTTGGTCTGAACTGGGTTCACTGCGTAGTCGAGTCGTCAGGAGATTTCTCCCACCTTAGTGTTGGCTAAGATGCTTAGATTGATCACTGAGGTAGAGACTGTCTATCTGTTCTAGTTAGGAAATGTCCATCCTTATGTATTCAATCTCTCCCTCACTGATGAGGTGGATATCTGGGGTATCTGGCTATCCCAGCTATCCTCTGTCACGTGACCCGTGGCGCAGTATCATTCTTCCGTGCGTCGTGCCATCGTTCATTTTCTGCCAATGAATCCTGGCCTGCTGCGGGCCTCCTCCCCTGTATGTTCTTGTTGGTTCGTAACAGCCATGCCTGCCCATTGCCTTTTCTCCGCTGCCGCTGCCGCCACTATTACTGGTCCCACCCACGCCCCTACACGTTGCATGCCTCTTGTGCCACGGATTGAGCCATCCCCAGTTCCTCCGTCATTCTCTGTTTCTGTCGTATCTTCTTCTTGCAGAAGACTATGGCTGAAGAGAGATGAGGTTCTGCCTCGTGACTGAGCTGTCCGCCCTTTAACGTGTTGAGGATATCCAGTGCTACATTTGCACATTCCAACCCAGTAATCTGGAGCTTTCTCTCCGAGACCGCGGCAGCCCAGCGTCTAGACAGAGGAAGTAGACCGTCTCTAGTATCCTCCACAGCGGAAACAGATGGCGCTAAAGCCATGGCGTCATTGCTTATACGTACTGAAGTACCACCACTTGCCGGCGGACACAAGAGTGTGGCTATCATTTCACGCCAGAACGGTACATCCACTGTGTACGGAATCGCCAGGCCTGCTGAAATGTAGAATGCTGCTACCAGGAGGAGGACACCACAATCGGCATGGTTGTCTTGCAGCAAAGGGCTGGTGAAATGCACGGACCTGAGATTCACTTTCAGATATTTCTTGGAAACTTCTTCCATCTGAGCTCGGATCTCATTCCGGGTCTCTAATGATGGAAGAGAGTCATAGACAACAACAGACGTCCGAACCTCATCGATAACAGCAAGAACCCAATGATTGCGGTTCACGTGCATAGGGATAAGCATCTTTCTGGCGTTAAAACTCGGCGGCTTTATCGTGGGTAATACGGAATCGATGACATTGATGGAACTGCCCGGTGCGTGTCGAATGATCAGAAGTATCGCATTAATCGCTTCATCGTTGAGCCAGGCTCCTGGTTGGAGGCGTTTCAACGACTGCGAAGAGATGGAGAATAGTGACCTTGGAGGGGGCGTCGTAGCAGGCGATGCTGGGGCTGTATTACCGGGTGAAAGCAAGATAATCTGGCTTGGTACTTCCTGACGTGCTCTTTTCGATTCTGGTCCGAAGGACTCTCTATCAAGTTGCCGCTTCCGGACCCTGGGATGGGAGTCTGCACATGAGAGTCTGTCATTGTCCTTGGTTTCTGGCGTATTTCGCACCGTCTTCTTATTTATGCGAGGGCTTAGCAATGGATTGAGGTCGTGTGCTTGCGAAGCAGCAGCTTCCTGAGGACCTTGCGCCACAGTAGACATGACAGAGGCTTTCTGTGACAGCGCTAAAGCTGGTGATACTGTAATGCATCCGGGGTTCGAGTTGCTAGACGTGTTTTCTTGCTAAATATAAGGATTATTAGGTCATTCTTATTACATAAAGAGGGATTTCTTACCAGTAAAGTGCGAGCTCTGGTTATATCCCAAGGCGCCCAGTCTCTATCCCGAGAAATTCGTTGTCCAGCTTTGCCTGATAGACGTTCCTTCTGTGCTTGTTCAAATGCTCGACGCACATCGGCCCATGTCTTGCCTTGAAATGTAGCACGTTTTTCCCTGAATTGTTTCAGGAAGTATGGAGTAGCTCCTTCAAAGAACCTGTGTGCAGTATCCTCCCACTCCGTACTGGCAGAATCCTGCTTCAGCTCGTTGAGCTTGCTTGCGTGCCACTCCCGAAGCTTCTGGTTCTGCTCCTCTCGAACGCGCTGCTCGTATTCTTTGGCCAGGATCTCCTCTCGCTGAAGTTCTGAGAGGTGCGGCGAAACTGTTTCATTGGGACTTCTGTTTGTTTGTGTAAGCTCCATGCTGGAAACAGCATAGTGAGGTTGTCTATGGTAGGTTGAAAGAAATCGGTCGTTTGCATCAGAAGGCTGTTGGCTCTCTTTGGCTGGCACAGCTCTGCGCGGTGACAGCGGTATGGACGAGTCAGTCTTGTTGTCTTTATAATGGTTTATCTACTGTCCGTTGGCAGCATTTATACACCAAATAAGTGGGGTGTGGCCCATGGCCACGACACCCCTGCTGCCACACTCATACTGGCTACATACAAAGGTGGATTCTGCCCACACCTGCCAATCTGCACCATCCGCCACCATTGCTTCATATGACTACCAATAACCAATCATGTTTTGTTGTTGTGTAGTTCATTGCGTATGCCTGATGATCAGTCACGGACTGCGACTCAGGAATGTTTTCAAGCCCGTGGGGGTCAGTAACAGCCAACACTTTTTGCCCTGGAATGATTGGTTATCAGTGTCATGGTCCGTTGATGGAATAGGCAGCCACAGCTCGAAGGCGCCAACCAGCTGCTGACATGCCTAAGTCGGTAAAAGAACCGATGGATTGTCTTGGCAGCCAAATACCCCCGTCGCCTCCAATTGTACGCCATCTCGAAGCACGTAGAACGCCCCGGCGCCGCAACCCAAGAGCCTATTAAACAAGAACGTGTCCAAGAACTGCAGCCAATACATTGACGCATTATATCGATCATCCACCGCTGGCCATACAGATCTTCATGCCCACAGTAAAGCTGCACATGTGTCACGGAACTTACACAGACCTTAGGCGTAGAGGCTTGGCCGCGGGCTTAGAGACTGTTGAGAATGATTGGTAACCGCTGGGGCTAGAACGAGCCCAAATACCCTGCCGGAAGTCAGTCGTTGCCGTGAAGCTCCTGGTGCATTTGGGCCTATAGGTCAACAGTCACTCCTAGTTTGTGGTGGTCTGCTTATGAGTCATCCTGATGATGATGATGATGATACACTCACCATTATCCCAGGCGCCACGTCAGACAAGTTGGAGGACAGCTGCCCTTTTCCGGCAAACGAAGACGACTACAAAGAATGGTATGACAACGCATATAGTACCTAGTCTGAATGCTGAAGTGCACCATCAGGATGACTCATCGGCAAACCACACGGCAGAGAAAGCTGACCTATGGATGCAGACATCCTGGATTCCGCAGTTTATGATCCGTAAATTCATCTGCGATACAACAGAAACGTAAGGCAAATTGAAAGGAGGCTAAGGATGGTTGGTTATCACTGGTCGGTAGCGCATGCAGGAGCCACTGCAACGTGATAGGGGACCCGCTGATATTACAAGCCTTCCTGCTCCTTCTCGTACCCCGATCTTGATGGGACTAAGCCGACTTTGAATTGCGAAACAGACTTGTTGTCCTCTTGGCTCGCTTTTTGTCAGCGCTACAGCGTCTTCACTCAAACGTGCCGGTCAACAGCCGTTTATTGGGTGACATGGGGACTCTTCCGGGGTCGAGCACGCTTCTAAGGGCTACTATAGGAGGTAAATTGGTAGTTTGTCTTGGATAAATCCCCCCAAAAAACATCGTATCCCGACCAAGGAAGAAGGAAAGAGCCCGCACTTGCGGCCTTGGGTTTCATGTTACGCCGCGGTTATAGATGCATTGTAAAACTTGGAAGCAAACGACCAAAGCTCCCACTGCAAGTAAAACTCGGAAACGACTGTGGCCCACTTGAATATTGGCAGTTGCTGACCCTGTATCTACGAACACAGGCCTCGCAAGCCCATTTCTCGCCGTTAGGCAACATGTAGTAAGTGATAGGCGGTGCCAGGAAAGGAACCAATAGATTGCCTGACTTATATATACTGTGGGGAATAGCAAGGGCTTTCATCACACAGGTCCTGCGGTAGTCCCCTCAGCTAGGTGCATAAATGTCACACAAGATCAACGAAACCAGTCGAGAGCGGATTTGTACAAGCCATTTCTTACGAAAATTTTCCAATTTATCACGTTATTTGTTGTAAATAGTAGGTTGGTATATTTATGAGTCATGCTCTATGTATATTGCTATGCTTACCATCCTTTTCTATTTCCGGCGTCACGTATGAGAAGTCCAGAGGGGGCTGAGCACGATTGGACATGGGTGCTCATAATCTGTATGTGGGTACCCATGATCTCACGGCTTCTATTGGCCTCCAAGAGGGGGTTGGTGCCTGTCTTGCTACCATTGTTAACAAATCATTCTTAGGGGCCATCGCCTTGTCTTACATGCTCTGGTTCTTACGGGCGAACCGTAAGGCAGCTCAAGTGATAACTGAGAATAATTGGCCATCAATGTTACAGGGCGTTTCCCATGCATGCGTATTACGCCACGTCACTGCCTCCTGACCTATCATTCATAGGCCCTCGAGAGCATCGAAGACGTGCCATCGGACGAGGCATCTATGGCCGGTTTGGAAACTGCAAGGACACTGACTCATAGACATTCAAGAAACTCGCAGAGACTGTCGACCTATGGATGGAGGTGGCTGAGAATGATTGGCCATGAGTGACTATGAGTCCAAGAGGAGAAGTGGGAACACGACAGAGACGCATGCATCTTCCAGCTGATATCACGGGAGTGGAAGTCTTGAGTCCAGTGACATAGTTCAGGGAAATAATCAGATGACATTAAAGTAATCTGCCAATCGACCAGCGGATTGTTGTAGGAAAAATAATATAAAGTACTTTGTTTTTAGGTTGAAACGTCGGTTTAACAGGTGTGGGCAGTAAACATTACCAGTAAACACGTACTAAATCTCTATTAGTCTCTACACAACACAGCAATGCACCATCCAGTGCATCAAGTACCTCCGGGTCCTCAAGGGGGATGAATCAAAACCATATCTGTCCTTTGTGCTAGGATTGCTGGAAAAGGACACACTGTGCTTTTCCCACCTACATTCTTTTTGTGTTTCTTATATATAAGGGCCTTCTGCCCTTCAGGAATTATTCCTGGTTTCTCCCCTTTAATAGAACACTATACAGCCAATTGGCCAAAGCTGAAGCCGCAAACAAAGTTTTGTTAGGTGTGTTGGAAAGTGCTTCACCACGAAATCAGCCGATGGAGTAAGACGTTCCTAGGTGCATGGCAACCCGGAGGGAGTAAGGACGGTCATATACCTTTTCACCCTGTATATTAACGATGAAGTTAATACGGATCTTACTGTTAGAGAAGTGAGGTGCGGCGGGCAATGTGCTCTATCTTGTCGGGAAAGCCTCTACACGTGTCAGCTAGTGCGAGTTCGCCGGGCCTGAAATCGGAGTGGAATGACGCGCATGTCAAAAGAGAAGGTGGCGAACAACTCATACTCGGCGTGTATGTAGGCAGTCTCTAGTTGGCTACATTACTAAGGTAGTGTCACAACAGCTTTGAGACACGCTAATAATTAACTGCTAGGTGAACTTTCCTCTGTCCATGGGGCGGATTTAATCAATGCACGCTTCTTGCAAGTTGACCGTTTCCGTAATGCCTGATAGCTTGGTGACAAAGTATCATACAGCTTGATACAGTAAAGCGCTTAACTACCAAGTAACATTTGCCATATCCTCCATTTTACATGACACATAGACCTCCGGCTCAGAACCATCCTCTGGCTCCTCGCCCCCCGAAGGCTTAGTGCAGGCTGCGAAATATATTTAAGCGAATCCCCATGGAAATTCCCAATGCCTCACGGAAGGCTCATTAACTTCCCATCCTGTAATAGGAAGCCCACAGAAGGCCGGAGTGATGTCTCGTTTGAATACCCCATACCTAACGTCCACGTTGATTGCCTGTCGACCTCATGTGATGATACTCTGTCCATGCGACGACAGCCAATTGCTGACGAGTTCAAGCCAAACGGAGCCCAATCCTGTAATATAATATAGGCGCCCCGTACTCACAAGTACCTCCCTTGCAATCACCATTCGACTGTCTGCTGGCTTCCCAAGCCGGAGCATAGCTCGCAAACCGACAGGTCAATGACTGCATCGGTCTAGTCCAAGGGCAGCTGGAAGCGCCCAGTCACGTCTCGAACGCGCTGCCACGCATAAATGGCGGCATCGATCCGGCCATTAATATGTTCCAATTGGTCATTAGACTGCAGTTCCCGGTACATGTTTAGGACTTTGCTGGTAGACCACTCTTCCCCCCGAAGGATCTGCCGCATGTCTCCAATGCATGGGCGTCTGCTAGGGCCAGGCGGATGCCTACGATTGCCTTGGATCCTGGACGTGAGTTGAGTTGTTGCCACCCCTCGAACTTCGCCAAGGCCATGTCATGTTCCCCCATCTCACACATCATCGCAGCACTGAGTTGCGCTAATGCCTCACTAGCAGAGCCAGAGGCCTTAAACAACACCTTGACAGACTCGGAGAAGTGACCTCGAAGACGGTAGACCATGCCGCGAACTGTATCTACACTCCCCTCTCGTGCCCGCTCAAGAGACGAGGCGAAGAGGGGCCTAAAACGCGAGAGCGCGGTGTGAGCTGAGAGGAGATCATTACGCCGGATGCAGTCCTGCGCTTTGATAATAGCCAGGTCGGCCAAGAAGCCGTTGGAGCGCGCATCGGCTGACGAGAATTTGATCAGTCGCATCTCCTCCTGGCCTATCTCACCGGTCTGTGAAAATGAAACCTGTAATTTTCGCACAGCAAGTCTCCTTTGCAGTAGTGCGGAATCCGCGGGATTGTGCTTTCCGTTCTCAAACGCCTGGATGAGGCGGGAACCCATCACGATTGCCTCCTCTTTCCAATCAAACCGCCAAGGTGCGACGATGCGAGACACAACTCGATGACTTCGTATAAGCCGGTGGCGGGCCCTTGGCCCAATAAGGACAGCACCTGCGGCTCGACAAAAAAGGAGAAGACGTGCTTGAGCTGAGGTAGCATCACCTCGTACTGCTGGTCATAGCTTGAGGTCTGCTAAAAAGCTGTGTACATATACTTCTGCCGAGCAGCTGGCGACTTACTCTTAAGGTTCAAGTGCCCTGTGTTTAGGTAATGCGTCTACTAAAAGCTGTGTAGCTTTTACCTTCTAAGCTTGTAGCTCTGCCCTGATATGTAAGATGCCTATAAGGCGCCTATTCACCCGTATCAAACCAGCTGCCGACTTGACGAACACTAGCACTTCCAGTCGGTGGGCTAGTTCGTGGATCCGATGGTGGCTGTCGTGTTGGTATGCCATCGTGGAAACGGTTGAATTTTTGTCTTGACGGGATGTATTGCATTCGAGATTTCAAGTAGAATCTGAGCTGCGGACGAATTGTGTGTTGCACAAGCGTGGAGAAGGAAACAGGGACGATAGGGGCAATCTCCGCGGCTTGATTCGTCTATTGATGCGGGCGGCATGGCTGTCATGGTTGCACAGAGAAGGCCTCTAGATGAAATTACATAGTTTCCAGGGCGGTCATGTCATGCGTATGGCCCTCAGCCACAGGGCGGAGTGGCCCCTGCAACGTGATTAAAGAACTCCGAGAGCAGCAAAAGCTTGGCCAAGACGGCCTTATTGGCGAGTGAGCCACGTAATACTGACAGGGTAGAATTTTGTTTATGATCTAATTTCAGCCCATAGCTCACTTCCCGCTCACGATCTGTTGTTATTTTATAATCTATTTCAAGCCCTTGGTTAAGGTCTTGTTTACAATCTAGTTCCGGCTTATAATTCCATTTATTTTCCTGAACGTTGTCCAATTCATACCATGATTTACTGCTACCTCACGCATATACGCAGTAAAGTAACCCTATTTAGATCAGAGTTTTTAGCGGCCATTAATGATCCGCATTTGAACTATAGCTCAGGCATTTAATAGTATAGGAATGCGGAGGAGCCTCTATTTAAATAGAATATACTTGCATAGTACCACTTTACTATAAACATAGTAAAACATGTACCTTGGGTCTTTGCACGATACATACACTACGGCAACGCATCCTATATTGCATGTTTGGAATGGAGAGAGAAATTAGCAGTGGTGGAGAATCCGGCCAGCTGTTTTTTTAGATTCGTAAAAGCTATCACAGAGGAGATCTAGATGTTGAAATGTACTAAGAGTCTTTAACCCTGCACTGCCGTCGATGTCTTGAAAAGTTGCTACGACACGGCTGACGTACCCATTATTGCCACAGTGAGGGCAATGCCTCTAAGAAGAGTCTTGTAAAGGTATTTAACCGCTTAATGTGTATTTACAGACAAGATGGCGCAACTAGAACACTACCTTCCACGATATACCCAAAAAATACCTTGTAAATATCTATCCTTCTGTTTCATAACGGTGGAGCCGAGCCGGACTGACCACTACCGTGTGAGTTGAACATTTCGGTAAGTAATCGCTAATATTTAGCTTGGTAATCTGTATGATATAGTGAATATGTCAAACAGAGCGTGTGGGCTTTTGAATAGGTGAAAACGTACATCCTGGTGTAATCCGTGATCTTGTTGAATCTCATTGAAAATCTTTTTGTGGGCTAAGTGGCCCAAAAAAGCCCTATTGGCCTTGTTAGTGCACTGCCACGTCCCTGAACGCCACGGTGGCCTGCGCGCCACTAAACAGAATACGGGTCGCGACAGTGTTATACAGACAACCATGTGATGCACCGTACGAACATTGTATTTGTTGAATTCATGCGATTTCACATTCAAACCATCTATACTAAACCCACATGTATAATTAGATAAGAGATTAGATACCGGATTCTGAGGTCACTTAGCCAGACCTGTGAGTCCAGCTAGACCTCCCGACGCAACCATCATCAACATCATGATCTTGATCCAATACTCAAGTATTATGATTGATCGTTCAAGTCTGTTCCAACAGTTTTCAATATTTAACCTATAACCTATTTACTATTTAATAATATATAAAATTATTAAATATATTAAGAAACCTAAAAATAAAATAAAAACATTGAGCCTTTTCTTGAAATATTTTAAAGCTCCGTTAATATAAAACAACTTTATTAGTTTAAAAGCTTCTTAAGTTTAAATATAAGGGTATTTTTTTCAAAATTATTTATTATTTTCATACTAAAAAATAAAGTTTTCATATTTATTAACATACTATTAAATACGAAGATTTTTAAATAAAAATTAACTTATTATAAACTATTATACCGTAATATATATTATATATAAAACTCAAAAAGCATATCGTTACGAAATAAATATAATTAAAGTAACTTTTTTTACTTACACCTACACAAGTTACTTTATTTACTTTATATAATATATAAGTAAAACGATATTTAAAAAACGACTTTAAATGGCTAACAGGATGCTATTATTTAATAAAAATATTTACATATTTATAACAAAAAACCATTAAGACTGTCACAGCGAGCATACTGAGGAGCTGGGACATGGCTGGCAGCAAGCAGCTATTACTCTATTGACGAGAATATCAAGACTAGAGAGGAAAGGAAGAGAGAGAAAGAGAGATAGGTACAGTAGGAGGTTGCCCCTTTAAGGGGATCCTCTGGTCGGATCCTTCCCCTATTGGGAAGTATCCACTTGTCATGTGGGAAGGTCGGTGCAGGCCGTCACAAAGACAACTTTTTGAAGATAAATTTTGTATATATTAAAAAAAAGAAATATTTTTAAAAAGAGGAATGTAATATAAATATTAGTAATTAAATTAATTACTTAAAAGATTATTATAAAAATTTAGTTTTTATAAATACGATAAAGCTATTAAAAATAACTGTTTGAACTAATAAATACTAACTTATTATAATTTAAACATTGTGAGATTCTAGAAGAGTCACAAGCCTTGATGGTGTGCGTTGTCGCTGCAAACGTTATTGTTCTCCCTAAGTATGCTCGGCAGGGCTAATCTATAGCTAAATACCATACTGCATTATGCCATCGTGGATCTACTCGTCCCCTGGCAGGCCCCTAGCGTGTACTGCATCTAAGGGCACTATATCCGGGATCCAACATCTGATAATATTTAAATATATTAGAATAAGATCTTTTCTTATCTGAACTTAATTAAATACTTACCAGAATATACACCAGTTATAACCAGACTTGTAACTGATTAACGTTTTCATGCCGCTACCACGAAGGCACATGGTGGGGTGCACATAGCGCTAATGCAGATAGTGGGTACTGTGTAGTTGGTAGGTCCCTCCTCAATTGACAGCGACCATCATCCCAACTCCTGCTCTTCACATCTTGACATCTTCACCACCGCCAACATCAACACCACAACCGCCATCCGCAATGTCGTCCAGACTACCACCCTTGTTGTCGCCTCTGCCGGCTGAGTTGATGAATTTATGGTCTCTCTCCTCGTCGTCAGTGTCGGCAGCACCAGCAGCACCAGCAGCGGAGGAGAGTTCAGACGCCGACGATGAGATGGAGGCGGAGACGCCCAACGTTGACGACTAGCAGTCTTTAGCGATCGCGGCACCAAATGCAAATGCAAATACAACTGCAACTGCAACTACAGCTACATCCACGCCGGCACCAACCCACCCTGGCTTGTTGCGCCGTTCCTGCTTCAAGGTCTGTTCCCTGTTCGCTGTCCACACTCAGCCAGACCAGATCAGACCAATTCGTGTACTGACATGAGTCTACAGGTTGCCGACTGGCTCCTCGCAGCCGCCGCTAACCGTTCACCCTCCCCGGTCCCCGCCGCCCCCCGTCCTCCGCTACCAGCTTCGGTCCTCCAAGCCCTGCAAGTCGTCAAGGATGACCGTGCCCTTCTGCAAACCGAATTGGACTATCTAGCCTGGAGGCTTCGGCAGCTCGATTCACTCCCATCTCAGAGGAACACAGCAGCCGACGGTGCTGACGCAGCGATCGTCCTGGCATCTCACGAAGCGAATGCGCCCGACGGACGCGAAGAACAAGATGACCCCTTGCGCTACGTGAAGCTTTGGGCAGAGGCAATAACGCGCAACCAGCGATGCACCGCCGAGTTAGCAAGACTAACCGACCGCCTCAAACAAGACGTAGAGGCATCGCGTGAATACCGAGCGTGGATGGGCAGCCACAAACTGCCCGAAGGTTCCGGTTCCGGTTCCGATGCCGACAGCACCGCCATCGACCGGTCAGCAACCGACCTCCTACAAAAGCTCCAACTCGAACAAGAGACCACAACCAGCCAGCTCCAAGCCGCCATAGCCATCGCCGAGCAGGCCAACGCTGAACTACAAACCAGGCGACAGGACCTGAGTCGAGCGAGAACCGACACTATCGACAGGCAGCGTAAGGTGCAGACAAGCATACACGAGATGGACGTCTACATCGGTATGATGGGCATGGGACCGGCCGCGTGGTCGGAACTGACAGATTCCATCCCGTCGCTACAACGTATTGCGCGAGATGGTCAGACCACTGTGGCAGGCCGCGCTCCCGGGGAAGGACCAGAAGCAGCAGCAGTGCCAGCCTTGGAGCCGCACGCCTCGTCGTCAAATCCACCACTGAAGCGCTCACGTGTCCCGAATTCGCGAGAGAGCCCAGACGAGGATGATAGCCCCCCTGTGAAGCGACCGAGGATGTTCCGCCAGGGCACCGATCCCATTATGAAAACACCCACTGACAACGACAGCCCACCCCCACCCATTAGCATCCCATCCATTCCAGGCAACGATAAGATCCCACCAATTGGCAACGACGAGTCATCATCCGGACCGGTCGGATTAGGGATATATCCAGACGGGCGATACTTGTTAACTTGATAGAGAGGCGGTTGTGTACTGTGCTGTGCTGCGCTCTGCTGGCATGGAAACCTCTCATCGAGATTGGAGTTGGAAGTTGGAAAAAACAGCAATTATCAGCGAGTTGTAACTACAGAGCTTACTGTACATACCGCACCTCTAGAGCCAGTGTTATGGGGGTTTGAGCGTGCTTAATCCACGTTGCTGTCCAATTAACCCATCATGTTTTGATGTCTCTGCCCACAGCTGCTATCGCAACACTGCCACCCATGGGGGCCAGCCCCCAAACCCCCGAGACCTCGCTTCGCTCGAAGTCGCAGCCGGCAGGTAATTTTGCAATAGAGGACGACTATCGTTCGGAGTTAGCAAAGGACATGCCACAGGCTGCCACAGACTGCCACAGGTCGTCACAGGTCATCACAGGTCGTCACAGGTCGTCACAGGTCGTAACAGGTCGTCACAAGACATGCCACAAGCTGCCACGGATTGTTTACAAGACATACTATAGGTTACAAGTTTTTATAGAATATGCCACCGGCTGTCACAAGTTCCATTACTGGCAGTGGCATAGAAGTGGCATAGAAGAAAGACCATTGGTACTAGCCGGGATTGATGGGAAGGGATTCGTGGAATTCGTAGGGATTCGTGATGGGATTCATGTGGATACGTGGGGATTTGTGTACACCCGTACCGGTAAAATCCGAGTCTAGGATCTCCCTTCGCTTGGAGCCGAGCTTGGAGATGAGTGATACCGCCTCTAGATGCGAATGTACGATTGTCAAGAAACGAGAGACGAGAAACAAGAGACGAGATACAAGAGACAAGAGATGATCGAAGTATGGTCCCGCTCGCTCACAGCGTCCGAGGACTCAGGAGGTGGCACGTACTGGTAGAATCAAAAATTTCTACGCAACTGCGGACGTGGCCTGCAAATGGATATCGCTCGCAGTGGTCCAGCCAGCACTGGTCTAGCCAGTATTAGTAGTCCAGTCTCCCTGAGAATTTTCCGTGAGCGGCTCGAGGAAGCGGCTCGAAGTAGGTAGCCAGACAACCCCCCAGACTGGCAGACTGGCAGACTGCCAGATCTCGGCTCTCGGGACGATGAGCTATCCAATAAGTTATCCCGCAGAATTCTGCCCTCGTTGGGATTCTTGACCATGTCGAGAACAGACCATCCAAGAACAGGGTGTCCACCGCGGTGATTACACTTTTCCAGCGTTTCCAGAAGTCCGACACAGCTGCTCGGCGCTCGATTTCTGGGAGGTGCCTAGGCTAGTTGAGAGTTGAGACTTGCCTTGGAGGTTCTTCGGCCTTCAAGCTGGCTTTTGTACAGCGTATGCCTGTATAGCGGATGCCTGTACGAGGCACTCTTCTATTTGTGCTCTCGCGGCTGCTGGTCTCGCTGTGACCGTGACGTTGGGGTCGTGTCCATAATCGTGCCGGCACCGGCGCTAGCACTGGCGTTGGCATCAGATCGTTTTCGATGGAGGGGGGTCGACGACCACCTCTGCGGTAATGCGGTATGCAAAGCGGAAAACGTCGAACCCAATCCACCGTCTTCGTCCTCCCTTACTCTGCGTCAGACAGGCCTCACTCTCCCCATCCCTATAGGAACCAACCCAAGTTTTCTGATACGGCGTCCCGCGATCGAGTCGTCGACGAAAGAAATAGACCATAATGCCCGTTTCGCAGACGGCTCAGACGGCGCACTCAAACGCGAATCATGGCCTTCTCCTTATCCGCCGCTTTGTTGGTAGGTATCTTGATAGCCACACCGAGTTGGAAGTTGTCTGGATCAGGCCGCCAGTCGCCTTGCCTGGGAACACGTCCGGCGGTTTGTCGCATCGGTTGGGAAGCCATGACAGCTTGCGCAAAGGGGTCCATGTTTGTCAGCTGGTCCGTTGCGCAAAGGTGGGACGGTGTACTTGGAAGCTTGTCTTGTATTTGGCTCGGCCATCTAGAACGCCTCGATTAATTTAAGTAAGGCAGGCCGCAACGAATAAGAGAAATTTGGAGATGAATTATATCGAAAAAGATGAGATGTATGCGCTCGCTGGAGGGGATGGGCGTCAATTCACGATATGACATGAGGGTTGCGACTCGGAGGGGTATATTTATGTAAAGGCTTATGCACTTGTCAGGCTGGTGTGTATAAATGCCAGACGTGCATTAGCGGTGATGTGCGGGAACGGCCCGGCGATTAGATTGCAGATTGCGGTGATTGCGGAGATACCATAGGGCTGATCCCTCATTCAAATACGGGGTGCCTGTTCCAGGTGCGAGACAGCCAGCACCGTTCACCACCTTCAATTAGGTCAAGGACACAGTCTATACCGAGAGCTAATAGTGTCGATTAGTTCCTACACTTCGTTTCAGGCTTATCTTTCATTAATTCCTCTGTCTTGTCCTACTCCTCGAGCGTCAACATTTCACAAAGGCATACCAGACCACCTAACAGCACACAGCCATGACAGACGCCTCTCCATCCCCAGCCTTCTACAGGTTCGCAGAAGAACTGCTCAACGTAATCATCAAAGCATGCATCACGTCGAGCCGCACAGCCAAAGGACTGATCTCAGACCTCTAGTCGCTACGGCTGGCTCATCCCCGAGTCGCGTATCTAGCACGGCTGAACAGCGAGCTCTTCCGCTGCATCAAACTGCCAGTCGACCCGAAGCAAGTGGGGCGCACCACCACCTGACCGCGCTGGCTCCGTGCGTTAAGGAAGTGCTGTTTAGATATTCGATTGATAGTTGGGCCTTGTCCGAAGAGGACGTTCGGGCTGTCGCGGGGGAGGAGCGGCGGTGTAGCGCTAGCGCTGGCGAGGCGAGGGATGACAGCGGCCGTTGCGTGAGCGGCGGCGGCATGACGTTGATGATGCTGATGAGGGGGTGAGACACTACCTCGAATGCGCGCAGGCAGCGCATCATGCAGTCAAGAACGGAAGGTCACGAAGGGTCTGCACCGAGGTGCTTCGAAGCCTACCACATGCCACGGCAGTAACGATCGGTAGATGGAAATGCGCCGACTTGGACCTGGATGCGTGTGACAACAAGGCCGTGAGCATGATTCTCTGCCATACCCTCGGGGACCAGTAGGACTGCGGAAGCACCCCTGGGCGACGAACTCTTCGGTCTCGCCATCAGCTGTGTCATCGATGCGGGGATCAGGCCTACCGCGCTGACCCTCCAGTACGACACGCTCGGCGACTTTGAGTGGGTTGGCTCTCCGGCTGTGTATCAGAACCCGAGGTGCGCTGCGGACAAGAGGCGGATCTTGGAGTACCTGCACGAAAGTACTCTTCCGGACTGGAATCAGCTTGATCTGAGTAGGACCACGAAGGTGTTGTTCCAGCCTTGGTCGCTGACGCCAAGGGATAGACGTTTGGACCCGGGCGAGCTGTGGGACGACGAGGTCAATGTCGCGGCGAAGACGGGTGCTGTGCTCGCTGCGTTGCAGGTCAAGTGCGGACCCAGCGTCCGGGATTTGCAGATAGAGGATGGCTGTCCGCACGTTTTGCCGGACTCCTCCTCCTCCTCCTCTTTTGCAAACGCATCTCACTCCTCCAAAAACCACCCCCCTGCCCTACCGGAACTCCAACATCTATCCCTAGGTTACTGCACCCTCTGCGCCAAGCCCTTCGCCAACCTCCTATCCCACTCCCCCAAACTAACCCGCCTCGAGATGAGAAGTACGCGCCTGGAAGGCCAGCACAGTGGCTGGAAGTGCATCTTCACCGCCATACGCGATCATGCTAATACCAATGGGATGGCTCTGTCGTTCGATCAGGTCATCACGAGTGATTATTGCGAGACTAGTCTCGAATTGCAGACGTCGGAATATAGGGAAAGGGAACCTGTTTTGGATAGTGATCGTGTCGAGGATGCGGGTTACTGTCTTGAGGGGTATTTATGTGGTTGTAATGAATGGAATGAGGCGCTGAATTAGTTCTTTGGGGTTGACTAAGAGGTGAGGTTAGAAGTTCTGGCCCCCCGTGGTTATGGCCATCAGGGGAGGGGCAGGGGTGTATCTGAATTTACGAGTATATCGCAGTGACGTACATCTTGAGCTTGCCACCTACCCGCGTGACAATCGCGACATATTGCTCAGTTAGCTTTTGGAAACATTATCTACCTGCATTTTACGAGTATATCAACTGCATGCATCGCACGAGAAGACATTTCTGGAGTCCACTAGCAGTCGAATTGTGACACCGTTCTAGGCCTTGACAGCCGTGTCGACCTTGGTCGGCTATTATCGGAGCATCCTCGACAACCACATTGAGATACTTGGTGATAGTTATAATTATGGATTTGGAAAGGCTCTGTAAAATGACATTCACTGCGTAGCCGGTTTTCCGAACGGAGCGACTCTTGTTGTCGAAAGAGCCATAGCACAAGTGACACATATGCCAGTGTCAGAGACATTTTGGGTGACGGGTAGACTATGCGATGGTAGAGACACTAAAAAAACATTTAGGCGGTTGGTGTTACAATGCCATGGCCTGGCGACAAGGACAAAGGGGGCAAATGTCATGAAATAGGGGTAGGGGGTGGCTGAGGTGGCTAGAGAGTAACCACGGGTGACGCCAGGTGGGAACGCCCCTCGACAGGTGCCTCGGATACACACCTCTGCAACCCAGGTAACAAACACCTATAAGTATTAAGTACATGACCTAAACTCACCTGAAATTTACTACCTTCATTCTCATTCACCTCGCACTCACCAATCTTGCAAACCTGCAACTTGCAAACAACAAACAATCGCTGACTCTAGCTATCTCTGCTGCATCGCCACGAATACGCCAATCCTCACGACCTCACCTTGGCGACGACAGGTACACCTGCATGGCACGTCAATCCAGCATCTACGCCGACTCGTGCACCATCGACGCCATGCCTGGGCTTGTGACCCGTCACGCCTCGTCCTCGTCGGTGGCCTCTTCATCCGACCGGCAGGACTCACACTCACCCCCATCGTCTGCCTCACCACCACCCACCACCACCTTCACCCCCGGCCGCGTGCGTTGGACCGGCCATGAACTAAGGGGGGGGGGATTCTGCCAACCCCGAATGGACCGAGGACAAGGATAGCCTGACGCAAAGGATCAACGACATATTCCCGAGACTGCTAAGACAGCACTCTGATCTTGTCTGTGAGCAGCATGGCGGGGGCGGCTGTCCGCAAGCACAGGCGACACCCACCAGCCCATCCCCTGCTTGCAGCAACGACTTTGGCATTACATATCTGGATGAAGGCACCTGGAACCGCGTCTACACCATCCGTCCCTGCTTCGGACCCGATTCCAAACTCATCCTGCGCGTCGCTCTGCCTGTCTTTCGGTCGGTTTCCAAGACGGCATCCGAGGTGGCCACGATGGAATGGGTGCGCAAAAATACCTGCATCCCCGTCCCCAGAATAATCGCCTATGATCCGAGTCCCAACAACGAACTCGGCTACGAATGGTGCATCATGGAAAAGGCTACAGGGGTAGAATTTACCGAGGCAAGCCTGAAGCTTGAGCAGAAACTCAATGTGGCCAGGACTCTTGCCGACTGGGTTGACGGTCTTTGTCGGCATTCTTTTGATGTCATTGGCAGTCTTTCCACAGCGGAAGACGAGGCGAGACACATGAGATTCGTCACCACGAGCAGCTCAGACCAAAATGCAAGTCAACAACTTGAACAAGATCAGAACCGAGGTGGAGACCAAAAGGGAGACCTGAGTCGACACGACAGAACTCGCAGCGGCAGTGGCTCGGACACGTCGGACAGTCACGTCGTGATGGGTCCGCCCGTCTCCCAGGAGCTTCTCAGTGGCGACTGGCGCGAGGACTACCCATTCCACCACGGTCCTTTCCACACACCCCTCGACTTTGTACTGTCCCTGATCCAGTGCCGCGCCGCCGAAGCAGACGACCCTCGCCAGGCCCTGCGCGCCGAAGCCAGAGAGTTGAGGTCGAAGATTTATAAACTCGACTTTGAGGGTGCGCTGGCTAGGGGGTTTCTGCCCCTTGACGCAAAACAACAACTCGACGCTGAAAGCGACCAGGAGCGTCTGCGTACCGACCGCCACCGAGAGCTCACAGAAGCGCGTCAGCGCTTGTCAGAGGTCGAGTCGGCATTGTATCCCGCTGCCACCGAGGCAGCAGGCGCCCTATGCGCTGAGTCCAGAGAATTAAAGGAGAAGCTAGAAGACCTCGACCTCGAGACTGAGATGGCTGAGTCTGACTGGCCAAGCACCACACAACGAAAACTCGACGCTGAGACCGACGAGGCGCGCACTGACCGCCACAGGGAGCTCGCAAAGGCGCGTGAGCGCATGAAAGAGGTCCAGTCTGCCTTGTGCCCCCCTGCCGGCGAGTCGGACGTCGATCTGGACACGTCGCGTTTCCGGCCCTTCATGCTCGTAGACCAGGCTGAAGCTTGTCGCAAGCTGGAGAAGATTGCACGAGCCGTGTTCAGTGGTACAAGCGTACGAGAAATCCCCGAAACGGAAGCCAGGGAAGATGGAGGCAATGCTACCAGAGCGGAGTAAGTCTATGTTCCCCCACCCGTTTCATTTATGACACTTTAGCTGACATGGAAAGTATACCTGCTTGGCTCGATGATCACAAGGAGATGGAGACATCGTCTGGCTGTTCTGAGGAGGAGAACAGGAAAGAAGACGAGGCAAACACCAGCAGCAGCAGCGCTGACTCAACACCCGCGCCCCAGTTCCATTCCCACGCCAACCCCGATCACAACCACGACCAAACCCGCATCACCGCCTCCCGCTTCGTCCTCCACCACTGGGACATATCAAAACACAACCTCCTCGTCGACGCCACCACAGGCCAGCCGACCAGCCTCCTAGACTGGGAACAAATCTACAGCACGCCGCTCTTCGCCGTGAGTCGGTACCCGCGGCTGATGCGACACAAATACGACAAGTGGCAACACATGTCGCACTACTCGGGGCCTGACGACTCGGATGAGGATTCGGATGGGGATTCGGAAGATGTTCTTGAGTGGAAACGGCAAGACCAGCGCGCTAGGAGGGATTGCTACCACCGCCGGCGCATGCGGGAGGCGTTCGACGAGAGGCTGCACCAACTGAATTCGCGGTGGCTGCTGGGGACTACGAGTGGAGTTGGGGATTGGGAGGATGAGTATGAGAGTGAGGAGGATGAATTGTATCCCAAGGAGACCACCAAAGAGGAAACCGAAGAAGAGGAAACCAAGGAGGAAGAGGCCAACAGAAAGGCTAAAGAAGAAGCGAGGAGAACGACGAGAACGTCGTGGCCGTATATCGCGATGCGCGTCTTTGGGGTTGCGATGCAGGCTTACTACTGCCCGGGAGAGGTAGAGGAGCTGGAGAAGCTGGCTGGGGAGGGGGGGTGGCTTTGAGTTTGCGTTCGGGCGGTAGAGTGAGAGGAGGAGGAGCTTGTGGTGGGGCGTATGGGTTGCTGGCATTAGTTACCTTGTTCTCGTGGGTGGTTGGAGGTGTTCTGGTTGGGGTGGTTCTGTCTTTTATATTGTCAGACTTGGTACGTCGGCTGCTGTCTGTGCCAGAGTCTGTCTATCCGCTACTTGTCTGTTTTCTTATATATTTATACGTCAGAGTTTTTGGCCGGCAAATATAGAGAAAGGCAAAGTGAGTTAGCTTGCAGACAGACAGTCCCAGCCCTTCAACCTAAGAGACCGTGACGTGAGATTAACCACTTACACTTAGCCCTCATATGTCTCCGTACGCGCACCATGTCAATTCTCTTTGTATGTCATTAAAATAGTAGAAGAAGCAACCTGGAATAAGCAGCTATACTCTAATCAGTCGTACTGAATGCTTATTCCACCGTGCTTATACCACAGATCACAGACGACCGTAGATATCCAGCGCCTTGGGTATCTGGCGTACGGAGACTCCTGAGGGTTTAGTTTACTTGCCTTGTTGCCTTGCCTTGTTGTTGTGACATGCCTTTATAGTCCTTGCTATATGAGAGTATACTTAATTCCTGCCAGCTCTTTTCGCTTCCCCTTTCTCCGTCTTTTTAACGGACCATGTCTTATGACTATAACCCCCCGACTCCCCATTCAAACTACCCCCTTGTTCTCTCAGCCCTAGATGGATGATACCAATGACCACGGAACGAGGACGGTGGTAACTCATGATTCTTCCGTCATCGTATCCTCTTTACATTGCGTACTCGACATCATCAAGCAGCTTGAGCCTCTTATTATTCTTGTTCATAACTTATACGACATCCAGCGTACACACTATCCCAACACGTACCTGTATCTCTTTAAAGTTCGTTCTTTTCTACTATGTAGGTTAGTGCTTTTCGAACACTCCCCAGCCTCCTTCATCCTCTTCCTCTTCCTTACCCCGACGTTTCCCACCCGACATAGCTCTGCTTGCTTTTTAAAACGACGTCTGCTAACTTTGAATGATTGTGGTGCGCTATTGTAAATTGAATTGTTCACTTCGACTTCGAGCGAAGCGAGGCTCGGGGGTTTGGGGGCTGGCCCCCATGATTTGCACACTGGTGAGTCGAGCGACTTGGTTATCTTACTTTCGGATACTAGTTTCAATCGTTATGCGAATATGTCTTGCTGCATTCGGGTCACAATGTGCCAGCCTTCAGCCAGCGGCCGTGCTAGCGAAAATCGGTCGGTAATGTCAACTGAAGGGAGGGTATGTCTCGTGGAACAATAAATTCGAAGAATGGTTCCGACTGCTGTCATTGATCACGGTCAACATCAACAATATCGTTCCTCCCGGCCAGCAAACGGATAATACCCAGCCCCAAACTCCAGACTACCCCCCTCAAACCCATCCTCATGCACCAGCCGCCAGCTCCAAGGCCCCAACAACCCCGCCTCAAACACCCTGACCCTAACAGTCGCCCGAAAGCTCTCGGCCAGCATATTAATGCGATGCCCGTCCGCAAACGGCGAGCTCAGACTGAAAAACGAGCCCACGGGCGCCTGTGCCTGCACGACAATCTTCCGCGTCCACGTCTGGATGCTGAGCTCGACCGAGCGCGCGTCCCAGTCTGAGGTAATGCTCATGGTCGGGCTCCACCCGGCGCATTTGACGGCGTACGGCGGGCGGAACGCCATGGTGTATTTGGGGTTGCTTGCGTGGTAGCCGAGCAGATACGCCTGCATTCCTAAAATCTGGCCGCCGGCCACACAGATGCCGCGATCGCCGTCGGCATCTCGGGCTTGGATCCAGTGGTGCGCCGAGGGGAAACTGGTGGCCCAGTTCTTTTCTTGGTGGACGGTTGCTATTCCGGATCTGTCGGAGGAGGGTAGGTCGTAGTCGCTGTCGTGGATTTGTATGTTGAATGAGCAGTCCGAGGCCAGTGAATGGACGTGCCAGTGCAGCGGCAGAGGCAGGCCGACCAGGATGCCCTCGGGGGTGTCCATGTCGGGCATCCACGGGGTGGGGGGTCCCGTCGTCTTTGCTTCAAACCGAAACTCCGTTTCCTCGATCATGTACTCGGTCGTCGAGGCCGCGTCATTATGCACTTTCACGAAACCGCCGGGCCAGTGCTGCTCGAATGCCATGTCGCCAGCGTCATCGCTTTCTTTGTGGTTGATAAACTGCAGGTCTGAGACGAACAACTCGCGTTGGAAGACCTTGGTCGTTGTCGTGTTGAGGGGGGGCACGTATGTGAAGGTGATGTTGTGGGGGCGCGTTTCGGCGGACGGGACGGTGCATACTATGAAGACGAGGTGGGCGCCGGAGGGGAGCCGGAATTTGGAGTAGTAGCCCTCGAACTTGGCGTTCTCATGAGGCTTGTAGTGTTGCATGATGGGCGGCTGACATGTAGTTATGATGAGCGCCCAGTGACTATAAGAATCAGAATCACACCCGCGAGATGGAGAGAGCTGGCGATAGTGCATGCGAGTGATGACGTCAGTGAACTAATATGGGTCTTAGGTATAGAAGACACACCGAAATCGAAGATGGATCGCTATTTGTCGTTCCGAGTCTGACTTGCTCATGGCCGACTCTGACCTGCTTGGCGAGTATGCAAGCACTGAAAGTGGACAAGTTTTAAGCCATCATGTTGCTGCCGGAGGAGTATGGGGCTACAGTGAACATTATGACATTTCCAGACCTGTCACAGTGTCGGCTCTCCATGATTCTTATAGGTACCACAATGCCTCTCGCTTGAACACCACCCCACGGCCACCACAGAAGAGTGACCAATACAATACCATCTGGGATCAGTCCGATTGCTGCAGACGACTACTGCTGACGTCGTAGACACTTTGTCGCATCCAGACCGATCAGTCCATACCTTACCACGAGCAGACACTCGCTTCCGTTGTCAATTACCCCTCACCTCATCCAAAACACCAAAAAGTATCACCACCTTTCCGACTGCGATCCAGCGACATCCTTCCATCACACAGATCTCATGATCTTCCAAAACCCTCCGACTCCCTATACTGATTGATCTATCGATTCAGCTTGTTGTCGACGGGTCGATCACGCCGTCTATACAACGCACCTGCACGGGTAAGTGGTGTGGGATTGTTAGACGGCAGTATCCAAGCACGTGACCTTTGTCAAAGCACGGACCACTTGAACTGGGAGACGCTCGGGCCACGTCGTGAGATGAGTGGTCCTAACTTCTACAGGCCAGCTGGGCCCACACCCAACCCTTCCTCCTACAACAACGACTTCAGAGGAATTCGCGGTCCGTGATCGAGTCAGACCTGTGCTTTTACGTTGTTCGCCTGGGGATTTGCTCACCTTCAGCTGCCTACACTACTACCATGCGAACAACCAGACAGCGTGGTAGTCCATCCGAGTCACCTACCCCGGCTCACTTGGCACCAATCGCGTAGCTGAGGCACCACCCGTGGCTGTTCATTGAGCACGCGACTCTCGGCTGTGGTGGTGCTCTCCTTTGCCCCTTGCCCCTCTGCCCAACTCAGTTCGGTACTGCCAGAGGTACTCTCGGATCTCCCCCGCTCAAGACAAAGCAATTCACACACGACGCGTTGGAGGCATCGTCATGGAGTGCGAGCCTATCAACGCCGGGCCGATGAACCGGATGCTCACACTGCTCTCCGTTAAGCTCATGCATCGGTGTGAGAGATATTTGTCACGGTTGTGGAAGCCGTCCCCGGGCTCGTCACCTTTGTCCAGGTTCTTCATCAAAGTATACCCCTTCGAAAACCTGGCCGAGGCGTACGCCATGCAATTTGTCGCAAAGCATACGTCGATCCCAGTGCCCAAGGTCTACTGCGCCTTTATCCACAAGGGCGCTACATACACAGTCATGAGCCGGATTGATGGACACATGGTAAGTGGTGGATGGCATGGCCGGTCCGACGAGTCCAAGCGGGAGATTCATCTCCAGCTCCAGCTTATGATCGAGGAGCTTCGAAACATAAGCCCGCCCGAGGGCATGGGCGTCGCTAATGTCAACGGCGGTCCTTTCTGTGACCCTCGCCTGCCCTCCAAAATGTTCTGGGGCCCTTTTGCTTCGGTCCGCGAGTTCCATCAAGCCCTCATAGAGCCTGTGAAGATTGATAAGCACCCTACGGACCTGCCAGACCTGCCAGACGACATCCCTGAGCTACTCGATTTCTACCGCCAACACCACGAAAAAGTAGTGTTCACGCATGGCGATCTAAGCAGCTTGAACATCGTGGTACGCGGTGACAAGGTTACTGGCATCATCGATTGGGAGACCTCTGGCTGGTTTCCCTCGTACTGGGAGCACTCATGTGCTTGGCATGTCAACCCATACAATGTGTTCTGGCAGGATGAAGTCGGCAAATTCTTGCCCCATATGCCTTATGAGCTGAGAATGGACAAGATACGGCTGAAATACTTTGACGCTTTCGGGACCAATATATAGGTCGGACTATGCTAGCAACTCAACACTCTCGAGCATGTCCCAAGTCGGTGCTTTCTCTGCGTCGTATGCCCCCCGCTCGAAACGACCAGCAGCTATCTTCGACTCGGCATACCACATGGCGGTGTCGCGGACAGACTTCCAATCTGGAGCGCATGTCCCCAAGGCATTGCCGTCCTTCAAGGCAACATCAAGTGCCTCCTTCGCCCACGCGACACAGTTCCAGCCTGGATCGTCACGCAGCGGCGTACTCCTGAAGATGGACTCCAGCCGACTCATGTTGCTGACCTTGCCAATGACGACGCGAACCAACAGCCTGATTGTTGGTTTCATGAGTATGTCGACTTCTTCGAATTGCCAAGCCGCCCGGCCTGTCCCATGGCCGATGGTGTCCTTTGCGTGGAAACGTTTGCCTCCGCTCTCTCCCTGTTCATTCTTTGGCCCGACGAGTAAGGACCAGTGGTATCTGGTCCCGTTATTGTTGTAAGGAATGGCCTAAAAAGGGACATTTGCGCACTTGTCTTCAAGCCCGGCCATCTGCGGCTGGCCACCACGGACCTACAGAGCCACGTACAGGCGATCCTTGTTTGAAGGCATTGACGGACCTTAGGCTCTGAGAGAACGGTGGGGTGTGATATGGAACGTAGATGGACCTGCTATGAGGGGACGAAGAGCCAGAATAGATAGAGAGCCGCGACGAGGGGACGAAGAGCGAGAAGCGATAGAGAGGGTCAACACTGGAAGATAGAAGGACTGGTGGTCCACGCACTGGGTTTTGTATTCGTAGTTCTCGACCTGGTTTGATTTGATTGGTACTGGTAAGGATGGTGGAGAGCTGGGAATCTCCAGGCTAGCGAGACGTGGATACAATGGATTCCTGACACTGTCGCACCTTCCAACAGACACTCTGCTACATGTACCTATCTTTGGAATGACGCCATCTCCTCCAATCCATCAAAACAAGAAGCAACGTTGGAACGGGGCCCGGGTCGTGACCATGGGCCGGCCACATTGCCCAGCTAGCCGCGCGCGTCGTGGTCGAGCTCGGGCCGGAGGATCACATGAGCCCCTTCCCTGGCCCCTCCCAGTCGCAGCCTGCCCAACCCGACGGCCCAGCCAACCAACCGGAAGGACCCAACACAGCCGCTGTCGGAGGGACTGACCGGTCGCCCTGTGCCTTGTGGCGCTGGCGGCTGCTATGTATGGTTCTCTACTGACGGTGTTGGCTGGCTACACTGAATCCTTATAAGTCTCCGTACCTCCACCACCCGTCTCAGCAAACAACGATAAATCTATCGAATTGGAATAAGCATACCGGAATAAGCACTAACTATATTGTATCAAACAAAATCTGCCTATGACTGTATGCTTATTCCAATATTTCCAACTATCCTACCAGTAATAGGATCTTGCCAACATGCGCGTACGGAGACTTATGAGGGCTGAGTGTAGCTGGCTGTACTGTACGTCTGGGGCGCGGCGCGGTTAGGCCGTTGGGCTGTTGGGCTGTTGGGTCTAACCACCTGTCTACTGTACACGAGGTTGGTGGCTGAGCAACGAACGAATTTGGGGGCGAAGACCCAAATAAAATTTGAGTTTTGGCCGTGGTGTGGTCTTTAACGTTCAATGTCAGGTAGGGTGAGGGTAGGATTCCTTGGTTGTAACGCTGGCACTGTCGCGCCATGAGAGGGCTGTGTGGATGGGCAGTGCGGATGGGTTACGGGCGTCTTCATTAGATATATCTACTGTGAAGTGATACTATGATACTATGATGCTATAATGCTATGATGCTATGATGCTATGATGCTGATGTAGGTATATAGGTGCCGGCGAGGCAACCGCAGAATGAAGGCTGGCTGAATCATCGGAAAGTGGGTTTAGATATGTATAAGCTTTACTTGTGTACAATGCATGGTTGAACCACAGTGACATAGCGCGATATGTAGCAGGCGGTATAGTAGCGGCTCGGCCTCCTATTCCTATTCACTAACGGACGACGATGGTACAACGGCCTAGCTCCCATCCGTTTTTTTCAGTCTCAGTTGATGGCAGCGAGGTGCTGGCGGGAGACAGTGTGACCAAGCAGTCGTCATTGTCACCGAGTTACGGGGGCGGGGCGGGGAATGCGTTTACCCCTATGCTCGAGGTACCTACACAGCTGAAGTAGAGCAAGAAAGAAAGTTGACTCGGGCTCGTACTAGGTTAGACATTTCTCAACGTGTGCGATGATAGAGAGTACGATACCCCTACTAATCAACAACGTTGACGCCTGGCAAGTAGGCTGTTCTATGTCAACTAGACGATCTACTAGGTTATCAACCGCAGCCCCATCGCCGCGTCTGTTGACATTGAGATACCTTCCGCGCAAAGCAAAAGCCCGCCTCGTCAAACCAGCGCGGTGGCAACTTCGAGTACTCGGAATATCCAACGGAAAGGGGTCTCGGTCGTGGTGGTAATGTTGACGCTGGCGATGTCGCCTATTTAACACGACGAAAACCGGGAGTTTCAACACACATTTGTGCGAGTACTGTATACGCTTCGAGGACCTCATTTGTCAGGATGGCCTCCCAGCACCGCGGCTGTGAACTCAACGCAATCGTCATTTGCACGTGCTGTCCCGACACGATGACACCGGTTCTTCATCCTGCCCACGGTGTCGAAGGTGTCACTGAGGAGCTACCCCATGGAAAGTCCGGCAGTCGAAATGTCACACCTGAGACGCTGAGCATCATGGAAAAAGCCCCCAGTCCGTAAGGATAAAGACAGAGAAACAGAGCTCTTCAAGCAATGGTTACGGGAGAGAAATATGAACACTGACCTTGTCATCTACTCGGATGGCTCACAGTGGGACGACCAAGGCACAACCCGCACTGGATGGGGTTACACCATCAGGAAAACGCAACACTACACAAGAAGTATATCAGGGAAAAGGCAGACTTCTTTAAACAGAAGTAATAGATATTAAAGTCCATAGTGCTCTCCAAGGTCTCGCAGCAGCCAGGGCAATTGGACACAGAAAACGGCTATATGTCTGCCTGGACAACACGTCAGTGGTAGATGGGCTTAATGGGACTCCACCCGAGACATCACAGATCATTTTTCTACGATTCCAAGAACTTGCCACAGCACACATTCCTGGAATGACTGTCAAATGGATTCCTGGATACAGAGATATTAATAACAATAAAGCTGCTAATATACTAGCAAAAGAGGGTACCATGTTAGAAACGGACAGAATAAACTTTCTTATAATCTCTTGCATAAAGAGAGATCTCAAAAAAAAGAACAAGAGAGGATTCGATTAATGGTGGAAAGACCAATCAGAATCTAGATATCAAGAAGTATACTCATATACAGTAACTAAAAGAGACCTTATATCTTTTGAAAGGAGCATTTTATACAGACTTTTAGCAGCCAGATCTGTACATAGCGACTTTGCTAGATATCATGAACGCTTTGGGTATACAGACTCGAATGATCATTGCAGCTGCGGTAAGAAGAAAACACCATAGCATATTTTCCTTTGTAAGAGACTTGGAAAAAACTGACTGCTGCCTAGGTACTTGTTTAGGACAGCCTGTTTACAGTACTTAGGGGAGAAGAGCACAGAATGGGCAAAATTCGTAGAGAAGAGCAAGTTCTTTTTATCAATCTGTCCCTGATAAATAGCTGTTCTTGAAAGACCAGATGGATAAACCCAAAGTCATACCGCCGCAATAACGGATATGGGCTCGTGAGCAGGACTGACTGTACTTATTATCTTGATACCTCCACAACCCTGCGATGCAGAGGCTCTGGGAGGCGTGGTTTGCACTACTGAGGAGCAATCCCCCATGTTAAATACAATCATCATCATCATCATCATCATCACCTGAGACGCTGAGAGGATAGTTTAGACGATGGTTGATACCACGGCTAGTGAAACGGCAAAACTAAGCCATGGAATGGAAGCACACTCAAAAAGCAAAAGTATATCGATGCCATTGTTAGGGTGCCGGCAGGAGATCCTAGGTCTGCCCTGTGAATGTCACCATTGCGCCCATCCTTTTAATTTCTGTTGAAAATGTGGTGGTTTGCACTTGGCACATACACGTTGTAGTATGTCGCCTGTCGGCTCTATGACTCAGACTCGGCCAGTGATTGCGTTAGTAATGCCGATATTGAGGTTGATGATGTCAGTGTGCTAGAACTCTTGCCGAAAGAGATATTGAAGATTAACATCCAGCAGTAGTGCAACAGGTCGTGACGTGGACGACGACGGCGCGAGGATTAATGGTGACGGACGGCGATCATAATGATCAGGATGATAGTGATGGGGAGGGCAACGGAGTTGATCTTGAATCAGTCACTGAAGACAGACGGGGGTCTTCAAGCCCGAAATGTACGCTTTCGAGAGCACAGTGTCGACGTCCTTCTTTTTCTGCGCAGGTGTTGGTCACGCAACATCTATATGCTTGCAGTCTACAAACCAAAGCTGCGTGCAAGGTTATCCTCTTACCTGATTCGATGAATTTCTGCACTGACTGATATGCGTGAGTCCCCCATGACTGTATTAATCGTGGTGAAGCAAACGACCTAGTACTCTCAGGGGTATATGAAGATGGCATATCTCCAGAAACACAGTCTCACACTCTCTTCAGAGTATCTTCTTGCCAGAGTATCAGACACTCCTGTACATGGCCTAGTGAGTCCTGCGTCTACGACAGCCTATTTATCTCCACGTCTGTCGTCGGAGCATTGTCTACCTGCCCTCTGCTGCGTTTCTAGTTCTGTAGTCAACATGGCCGAGAAACAAGCCAAGAAGCTGGAGGACTGGCTCAACGAGGAGGTCAAGGACGACAAGTGGCAGAGTCTCATGGGTGTAGCTACGGAGCAGAAGACCGTGGCTTCGGAAGGTAGGTTCCGACTCGATCTTCAGAAGGTATGTGCAAAGAACAATTCCATAGAACGCATCTTGAATGGGATCGTAGAGTGCTGTGGCCCAGACCACCCGCAGCCGGGACAGACAGTCATTCCCCATACAATCCATTCCACCTACAGTCACCCTCATCAAAGCTCCAGCCGGCATGCTTCAATCTATACTTACATATCAATGACGTACCCATATTGATGGAATGAGCACCCTGATATAAGCAGCTCCGGATCAACAGGTCATGTTTGAGATTTATTCCGGAGCGCCCAAGCCATAATGAAAACCTACCCCTATCCAGGACGGCCAGCAATAACAGACTCTTCCCAATACCACCTTTCCATCCATGGACCTACTAACGCATCCAACGCCACAGCCACCGCCCGCGGAAGACCCCTACAACAACCTCCAAGTCCAACTTAATCACCCAGAGACGGGCAAGAGAGCCAAGAGCAAGAGCAAGAGCAAGAGCCAGAGCGACGCGCTCTCCAAGTACTACCAGCCCCCGGACAGCGTCGCCCTGGTCCACGTAAACAAGGACTGGGCTAGGTCCGCTGATCTTGCGACGTTCAAGAACACCCTCATACAGGCGCTTCTGCAGTCGTTCCGCGGATCTATGGCGCTGGCTGAGCTTAATCGGGGCGGCGGAAAGCCGCCTGTCAAGAAGTTCTGGATCGATGAGGAAGGGCTTGTGAAGGGCATGTACCCGGATGTGTGAATGGGGATGATGGGATGACTGGGACATGGACTCGAATCTTGGGTTTGGGTTTGGGTTTGGGTTTGCATGGACAAGGCTTTCTATTCTGAGGCGGACGCCTATCTTCTAGGGCTCATTACTATTGATAAAAGTGAGGTTTGGGACTGAGCATGGTAGACTAGGATTTCGCAATCAGGATGTTTCCATGTCTAGCCGTTATGCATATTGACCGATGTTATGGAAGTGTACCGTCGTGCGAGTTGCAGCGATCAGCAGTAACGGCGGGGGCATAGATGTGGGACAGCCCTAGATGTGGGACACCTCTCACACCAAAAGGCCACACTTGCACCCACCCATAACTCCATCATGATTGTGGTTATAAATTGTGTAACTATAGCAAAAGAATTGTCTTTTCCTGGAATTTTTAGTAATACTAACTGTTCTCCTGATAGCGTGCGGGTTGGCGGATTGAGCGGCGTGAAGATCGGGCCACAATGGGCTCCTCATCCTCTTCATCCTCGCTATTATCCCCTTCATCAATAGCAACCCCTTTATTATCATAAGGCTCAAATTCTTCCAAATCTTTTGAAAATTACTCTGCAGAGTTCTCAGAGAGAGATCTCTCTGATTTGTCAATATCTAAGTTCTGCACTTCATGCAGAACTCATCGTTTCTCTGCCTGTGCCTCTATAGCAACTCGTGCGGCCTCTGTATGCTCAATTTGTTCAGCAACAATGTCCCTGATTCGCCATAGCCATTATTTAGGCTCTTTCTGGGGTGCCTTATGGCGCTTTTTAGGCTATAAACGCTCGATTTTGTTATCTTTTGCCTCCAACAGTTCCTTTATAAGCCCTAACTCAACCACCATCTCACTGTACGCTCTTGTAACCGCGCGGACTCCTGCTCGCTGCTCAGGGGTCTCAGCAACTGATGATAGTATCAGGGCTGTATCCTGCCCTAATTTAGGGGCTTTCAGTGCCTCAGGGGTGGTCTCAGGGTTCATTATAGCAGCTGCTGCTGCTTGGATCTCTGCTGCCTTCACCACATGCTCATTCGTGAGGGTTTTCTGTTAGTTTACAGGCCAAAGACCGGCAGCACGCCATCCTGAACGCACTATAGCCTCCGTGGCTTCATCACAGGCCTTAGCTAGGCAACTGAGGAACCGTAGCTTGCCTATAGGCGCCGAATCGTTCAACTGACCGAGCTGGTTGATAAGGCGGCGGTAGGCAGCTTTCACCACAAAGAACATGGTTAAATCCAGGGGCTGGAAGATGTGAGACTACTTCTTTTAGCAAAATAACTACTAATTAGTATATAACTTACTGTATATGCAGGGAAAAAGCTCAGATAAACGTTATTTATATAACACAGATATATAAACTCATCTGAGCAGTGGCTGCCATGACCGTCAAGCACTAACAGGCGAAAATCTTCCGGATCTTTAGGGGCAGTTTCTGGTAGATAGATCTAGGGCTTGTTTAGCATGTAGTTACTGTGACGGCCTGTACAGACCTTCCCACATGACAAGCGGATACTTCCCAATAGGGAAAGGATCTGACCAGAGGATCCCCTTAAAGGGGCAACCTCCCACTGTACCTATCTCTCTCTCTCTCTCTTCCTTTCCTCTCTAGTCTTGATATTCTCGTTAATAGAGTAATAGCTGCTTGCTGCAGGCTATGTCCCAGCTCCTTAGTATGCTCGCCGTGACATAATATCAAGACTAATCCATACCAGATCAGAAGCCTTGTCTTCAGATTATCACTGTAAGGAGCTTTGCCTCTAGCAGTGGCAGGTGCAGTGTCTCCAAACACCTACCTATCCCAAGACTTTATTATCCCTTTACTATCCCACTTATTATTACCACTGATTCTGTCCAACACACTGTGACGATGAGTACCATTATCATTCTAAAATATCACCATAGTTCTGAAGGGACTGGAAGACCAGCCCAACCTATCCAAACATTTCCCAACACCAATAACCTTTCTCCAAAGAAAGAACCAAAGAGACAGAGAACCAAGGCACAAGGGGGCCAGAACAAGCCAAACACGCAATCAAAGGCCGCTTTGACCCACAGCAAATCTCTCTCAAATGCTTCATCGTCTCCATCTTCCTCCAGGATCACATCCCAGGACCCACAGACCCAGCCCATGGCACCAATCATGAGCGGTGCTCTGGGCCGATCAGACGACCCCTTGCTCTTCAACCTGGATGCGCTTACGCCAGAGCAGCTAGCCAGACTGCAAACCGAACTACACACCCGGATCCTGAGGTCTGAGCCATCAACACACACAATGACCCCAGCTTCTATGGCATCAACCTCAAGTGCCATGTGTCATTCTATCAAGCTAGCAGGCCCTGCAAAGCTGAGTGATGGTTAAAGCCCAACCTTTGAACAATAGAAGAACAGTACCTAACGCAAGCTACAGACCAACTGGTGGCTCTTTATCACAAAAGAATCAAAATTTGACTGGCTTTATATGCTAATAAAAGGTGATGTATTTATAACATTGGAACCATTCATCTCTGAAGAGAACGCCGAGTCACTTACTATCATTAAAGAGATGTTTGACCTTCTCCGATCCTCTTATAGCAATTCTGACACAGCTGCTCAAGCCAGAGATCAGCTTCATGATCTATGGATGGAACTGTCCCAAGACTTCTATTCCTTTTGTTCCACATGGGTTCTCTTAGTCAGCAAGGCAGGCCTGTCCCGGACAGAATGGAAGTATGAACTGAACCGAAAGCTGACACTATCCTTAAGGATACAAGTGATGGCTTCTTACCTTGACTCTAATGTTTCTTTTAATCAATTTCGAAATATCTGTTCTAACAATACTCAATAACTTGCAGAGATTGAGTGAGTCAAGAAGCAGCGCTAAAGCTTTTTAAAAGCTTTCTCTCGCCATACCATCACTGTGGCATCTGAACCCCAGCAGTTCATCAGAACCCTATCAACCTAAGCTTGATCCAACCAAGCGATTGACACTACCTTCCAACCAGCAAGAGCATCACCTGATCAGAAGACTCCCTGTCTCTCTGCAGCCCCTAAAAGGAAGCACATTGACCGATCACGCACACCCCACAAGGCAGAAAGCATTATATGCTACTTGTGTGGCAAAAAGGGCCATATCGCTCCCAAGTGTCCAGACAAAAGAACTCCTTACGTACATTTTCTAAAAAAAGAAAATGAGGCCTCTTCTGGTCTGACCCAGGATGTTATTTCTAACAATGAGTCAGAAAACTCAAAGACCTAGGGAAAGTCTCTCACCTAGGCCTCCAATATACTATTAATCAACTGGCTCACCACTCCCATGAAATTCCATCACTTCGATCAGACCTCTCTGGCTTGATTGGTGGCAGTACCTTTGTGATAACTGCAACCATCTGATAGAATGGAATTACAGTGTATATGAAAGTTTTGATTGATACCGGAGCAGAGGTTTATCTTTTAGGCAGCCGTTCAATCATGAGCCCCTTGGCTCAATGATGGGAACTCCCTCAAAGACATCTAAGAAGCAGAGTTTGGGCCCAGCAAGAACTTTGACCTTATTGTTGGCAAGCAATTTTTGGCTGCTCACAACCTCCTATCAGACTGCCGGCGGAACTGCCTGTATTTCCCACCAGAACTACCTTTCCTTACCAACTTGAAGACTGACATCACCAACCCAGCTCGCCAGTGGTTAAGGCAATGGGCTATCAATCCTCAGGCCCAGCAGGACATGCTCTCCAGGGATTCATAGTGGGTGTCACGGCGAGCATACTGGGGAGCTGGGACGTGGCCTGCAGCAAGCAGCTATTACTCTATTGACGAGAATATCAAGACTAGAGAGGAAAGGAAGAGAGAGAGAGAGAGATAGGTACAGTGGGAGGTTGCCCCTTTAGGGGGATCCTTTGGTCAGATCCTTTCTCTATTGGGAAGTATCCGCTTGTCATGTGGGAAGGTCTGTGCAGGCCGTCACAGTGGGAAGATCAAGAGAAACGCCCGAAGAAGATACTACATCGCCACCAAGTGCTGGCTACATGGGCAGGAGACCATTATCAGTCCTTGCAGGCTATGAAAGACCAGCTAACAGGACGGGACCACCCAGCATCCTTATAAAAGACTTCCTCACGCCAGGCTGTTCATCCCAAGGTTAAAAAAGACGCAATAGTGAACGCTTTGGGTGCAGATATCCATCTAGTCTCAGGCAGTACCTTTTTTAGACGGACTAGTCACCGTCAAAAGGGACAATGTCAACGACACAGCTACGGAAATGTGTTCTCTTTTTCAGTATATGAGCTTGATCAAGCCATTGATTACTCTATTGATAAAGAGGACTCAGAGACTCAGTACCTGTTACGCAGCAGGCTTCCCCCAGAGGCACAAGATTTTATGGATATATTTTTTAAGACAGAAAATAATGAGCTACCCCTTTTCTGCAAGGATATTGACCACAAGATCAAGCTCAAGCCAGGGGCCAAGACTCTTTGTCTGCACCCCTTATATAGCATGAAGGCCGACCACCTTATTGCCTTCAAGCAATATCTGACAGAACACTTGTGTAAAGAATGGATTGTTTCCAACAAAGTAGAGTATGGGTCTTCTGTTCTCTTTGCCAAAAAGCCAAATAGAGGCTTGCGTTTCTGTATTGACTACCGCAAGCTCAATGCTCAGTCAAAAAAGGACCGTTACCCGCTGCCACTAATCAGTGAAACTTTGGAACGTCTATCTTGCGCTAAGCTGTTTACTAAGCTGGATATCAGGGCGGCTTTCCACTGAATCCGCATGGATCCAGCCTCTGAGGATCTCACGACCTTCCGCACGCGCTTTGGCCAGTACAAGTACAAGGTGCTCCCCTTTGGACTTTGCAACGGCCTAAGTACCTTTTAGCGGTATATCAACAAGACCTTGTTCCCATATCTGGACGAGTTCTGTACAGCCTATATGGACGATATTCTGATCTTCACTACAGACCCATTGGAATACTGGGACCATGTCCGCAAGGTCCTCCAGAAGTTCCGGGAAGCTGGCCTCCAGGCTGATATCAAAAAGAGTGAGTTTGCTGTCATATCAACAAAATTCCTGGGATATATAATATCAATCAGTGGCATATCAGTTGATCAAGCCAAGATTGCCGCCGTGAGGGACTGGGAAGAACCTAGGACTGTTAAAGAATTATAGTCTTTTTTGGGATTCTGTAACTTCTATTGGCAATTCATAGACAGTTTTAACAGGATAATTAAACCTTTTTACCGTCTTATTGTGACAATTAAGTACTTATAGACCAAGGAATAACAGAGAGCCTTTAATAACTTAAAGGATGCTCTATGCTTAGCTCCCTTGTTCTCACATTTTAAGGAAACAGCTCTTACCAAGTTGGAAACAGACGCTTCAGATGGCGTAATCTCAACAGCCCTCTCTTAACAGGATGAACAAGACAACTGGCATCCAGTGGCCTATTTATCGCGAACTATGAATATAATAGAGTGCAACTATCCCATACATGATAAGGAACTACTGGTAATTGTCTATGCCATGCGAGAATGGAACCACATGCTCACTGCCCTTCAGCATCCCCTTCCTGTTTTCACAGATCACCAGGCACTCCAGTACTTCGTCACTAAGCGACAGCTTAATGCTTGACGAGCAGCCTGGAGTGAGGATATCTCGGGCCTGGACTTCACCATCTCCTACTGTCCAGGTAGAGAGAATCTGATAGCTGATACTCTATCACGGAAAGCTGTAGATCTGACTACACAGAAGGCCATCAAGGATGAAAGTCGCCGCCAGATCCTCCTATCTGTTGAAAGATTCAATGGATCCGTTCACCTGCCTGTGACTGACCCGTCACCTAGTCCAGAGGACAACCTGGTATGTGCCATTGTGGCCACCTTGGAAGCCAACAACCAGGACCCAGACGGTTCTCTAAAGGGTGTTCAGCTTATTGATGCCATCTTGACAGCCAACCGCTCTTCAGAGACCCTACTCCTTGAGCGGAAAAAAGCCAAACATAGTCAGCAAGGTTACAGTCTTGTTGATGGCTTATTGTTGAAAGAGGGACGCCTCATAGTACCTGATGAGGGGAACCTACGCACACAACTTTGTGATGAGATTCACAGACTGCCTTCCCGTGCACACCCTGGCCGGAACAAGATGCGTGTTTTAGTAGCAGAGCGTTATTCCTGGCCAGGTATGGGTGCTTTTATAGACCGCTATTGTGCTCATTGCCCAGAATGTGGCAGAGGCCGCAATTCCCGTCTCAAGCCAGCCGGCTTGCTACAACCTCTGCGACGTAGTAACCATCACATTAATCGGGTTATTTTTCTTTAATTATTTTTCCCTTTGTATATATTTTGAAGCTATAAATTTTCTCGCTGATTTTATACGTTTAAATCGGCACCATTGTTAGTTTTAACCTAGTAATTCTTAAGAGAAAGGAGGCTTAGGGTTAGGGTTACCATGATTGCATCCTGGCGGATATCATCGTTGCCGCCTTTGATGAGCTGCTTGAACCGCTCTCCATTGTCCACATCCGGATCCAATGAAATGTAGCCTGTTGACTTCGCCATAGTGATTACCTCGGGTGCGCTCACACCACCCGCAATCGTTATGCTTGGCTCCAGCTTCGTCATGGTGGGGAGGTGAGTGTAGTCCACATTGGCCGAAAGGCAGAGGTGGAGTCTCGCCATGGGCAGGTGAACAGGTTGGAGTAGTGCCCTCGTGGTGACAGCCTCCTTTGTAAAAAACACCGCGGCTCGAACATGAGCAGTGAAGTATTGGGTGGACACATCATCGGTCGCTGGCTCCGCAGTAGGCTGTGGCGGTTGTTGTGCCGAGCTTCCGTAGGCCATGTTAATCAGAATGTCTGGCTACCTCATCAGACTGCTGGAGAAAAGGTAGACTCGCCTCTGGGAGAAATGTCGGTTGGGGGTGGCGTATCTCTGATCTCCTTCTTGGGAACCGATGGCGCCGGTGAGTCGGGCATCACGAGATGATCTTCGGATGATAGAGTCGGCCGGGTGCAACCAAAAGTTTCTGTGAAGCAGTGGACGGGAGATGGAGGCAGAAGGACAGACGAGAAGAGATTCAGTTGAAGAAGCGTGGAAACCATAAAAGCCCGAGCCGAGAGGACGGGCAGTAGAATAGAAGGACGCTGCTCCTGCTCTTGCTTTGATCCCGCTTGCCCGCTGACATCGGATATTCCGCGCGTGGCAGGGGCCCACGTTGTTCCGCGCCCTATGTGCACGCCCACCTCCAACAGGATGATGCACAGGCGGCTGACCCTGCCGCCATCACCCAGCCCAGCCCAGCACCATCTCAAGTTCCATCGCATGTGCCACATCCAATACTCGCGGTGTACTGCGAACCACAACAACGACACCCACCGCAGCCCTCAAACCCAGTCTCAAGACCGCTTCCCGCCGACCGACAACCCAAATGGACCGCGACCCGGGCTTCCCTCCTAGTCGCCTTCCACATTCACCAACTGGAGCCCTCAGCTCAATCACCGCATCATCATTCGCCCTGTCGCCCGCATATGGCTCCAGTGCATCACTACATCAGCCGCCCAAGACCTCGGGCCATCTGTGGTCGCCCGTTACGACTACCATCGACCGCCACCCGAAAAGGTCTCCGGCAGCTTCTACGACCCCATTACCGACACTCGGGAAGCGTGTTGAGAGTGTTGGGACTCTGGCGCAGCAACGTCTGGGACACAATGACGTTGCCACGTGGTGCGGGTAGAGAAGAACGACATATGTCGCGCTGCAACAAGCCGACCAAAACGGAAGTAGAAGGATAGCAGAATTCGGATCGAGCAGGCGTGAGCTAGTATGGATGGAAACAACATCACCTTGCCGAATAGGTACACAGCCCGGGCCTTTCCCAAGACGTCCCTGTCTGAATCGGAACCACGCATACCGCAAGACAAGCTGCCACAGGGACCGGATATAGGGGCACGGTAGGCATGCAACTGCACACTTTCTACGAAATCGAGTATGCAAGACTCGACAACCTCGATAGAGCCCACAAGCAAGGCGTCGTTCACGGGCTTACAACTGCCGGGTCTCTGGGCTTCGAATACGCAATTGTCTGCTCCACCGACGACTCCGCCCGAGCAAGCGGATCAGGATCCCGACTCGGACCCGGCGGCGTGGCGGTTCAGGCTTGTTGGAGGAGCGACTGTGCCTTTCCCCCTCCGAGCGAGATCGCGACGGCCCAAGTTGAGCCTCAGCTCTGGTCTGCGAGAGGGCGCGCGAAGGTCTACCGTGAGCTTGTGAATGGAATAGGCTGCGGAAATTGTACTATGGAAAAGAGTGTCAGGGCATGCTAGTCGAGAACAGGTATGGATGAACATGTGCGGAGTTATTCTTCCGCGGCAAGCCAGATCAACCCAAGTTCGTCCCAGGCAAGTTTACTTACTAATACCCACTATTTCGATGTCCCTAGCGATGTAGATGGAGCTCCCAAACCTCACCGCTAGATATTCAGGCCACTATACCTTATCAATCACTCCATACTTACGTCTCGTTGAAGAGCTGGTCCCGGCGGAAGAACAAGCTCAGGGAACGAGGCCGGCAGGCTATGCCTAGGCAGATGGAACAGACTCGCCAAAGAGAAACTCGAACAGGCATGGAAATTATCGAGATGATACTCAGGGCTAGCGTGACTGTCGCCCCGGCCAGAAAGGGTATTGATGATATGGGGCTGCCGATATACATGATGCTACGGCTGTCCGTTGGACTCGAATGCTTTCACCCCTTGATCTACCAACGGCTACTTCCAGTAAGCTACTACATCCTGAGAACCTATATCCGCAATCATGAACCTGTAATTTCTCAACGGAAGAGAGACAAACCTCAAAGGCACAAGCCGACAAAGCAAAGTACAGAAAGCACCGATAACGACACCAGCTATGCAAAAACGAGGAAACAAGCCAGACCCGAAGTCCCATGCCCGCGCGCTCACAACCCGCAAACCAAAGGATTGATCATATTACCTCCTTTTATGTCGATTCTGGAGAGCTGGAGCGCCGGATCGCCAGCCTATCACCTGTTCCCCCCGCCACTCCCAGCACATGAACGGCCGAAAGCCCGCCTTGATTAAAACCCACTGACTGCGCCGGTTCTCCACTGCCGTCCAGGCGCATATCTGTTCTGCAGCTTCTGCCTCTCCCCTGGCTCCGGCCGGTTTCGGTTGCAGTTCCGGTGCCAGTCCCGGTGCCAGTCCCATTTCCCCCATGTCCTTCTCCTTTTCCATGTCCATTTCCTCCTCCTCCCCTATACTCTCATCCCCCATCCCGTCGCAACACCAGCTGGCGCTCTCCTCAGTAATACCACGCCCGCCCTTGCCGACAACCGAATCCCCATATACTTGTTTTTGCTGAACCTCCCGATGCAACACCCACCACCACCCCAAAAACCCCCGTACAAACTCCGTCCCATACCCGCACCCCCAATGCTCGACGCCAAACTTGTATCCCAGTTCCGGCCACCCGCACATTGGCGAGCTCAATGTGTGGACGCCGCCTTCGCCTATTAGTTGGTTTGTGCTGCTTAGGAAGATGCCGAAGTAGTAGTTGTTGTTGCTGTTGCTGTTGCTGGTGTTGGAATTGGGGTCAAAGGTGGGGATATTAGTGAGGAGCTTCGCGGTTGTCTCGGTGAGACTAAGGTCGGGCCGCGCGTATGTGCTGTATGTCATTGCGGCGGGTTGCCGGCGGAGGGCGTGGTAGGCGTGTAGGTCGGAGAGGGTCAGGGGGCGGATGGTTAGGCGGGCGGTTTTGAGGACGGGTGGTTGTATGTCGGGATGGGGGAGGGGGATGGTGGTGTTGACGCGGACCCAGGGTTTCGGCTGCGGCTTCGGGTTTGATGTTGGACTTGGTTTGGGCTTGGACTTTGGCTTCGACCGCAGCTTAGACCGCAGCTTGGATATGTCGAGGGCGAAGGTCTTGAGGGGCAGACACATGGACTCGAGGAATGTTGGGCGCTTCTTGCCTGTCGCCATCGTGGACTCGAGTCGGCGGCAGCGGAGGCGGATGTGCTGAACCACTATAGCTGCAATGGAACACGGTCTCTCTACCGCATCAGTTCGAGCAAGCAAGATGGAGAAAGCTCAGACGAGTCGATAGACCAAGGAGAAACAGATGGAGCGTTGCAGCAGCCATGATATGAGACAGACGACGTCACATGTTCAACACCCAGACACGCAGCTTGGAAGCGGGATCTCGGGCTCCAGAGCAAGCATCCCGCCACATGGCAAAACCTAGACATGCATATGCGCCCACGATGAATTACTTTTTCTTTTCTTCGAATCTAGCTCTCCTCCAACCTTCCCAATGCGGCGGTTCGACTCGGGCCCGACGACAACAAGAAAAGAAGATATACGGTGCTGCGAAGCTGAAAGTGATGCCGATCGCTATGCATCTTAGCGTAGAGATCGGGCTGAGACATGGTGGAGAGACATGGGGTACGGGGCAGACTCTCCGATTCCGTTGCTTTTTTACTTCGTTGCTTTTTATGCCTGTATGGATAGGTAGGTGCATGACTAGCACACCTCTTATCTTCAGCTCGAGTGTCGAGAAACAGAGACCTTTCACATTCCGCTCGAGGGCTGGTTGATCAGCCAGGTCGGGAAGGGCAGTCGGGAGGTAATGGCTGGCGAAGTCAGGAATGTGAGTTGCTACCCTGCTAGAGTCGGTGCGTTGGTGCGGTGGTGAAGTATTGGAAAGTACCTATGTAGGGGTGAAAGCTTGCGATCTGAGCTTGTAGTCATCGCCAACCTGTACGTTGAGAATCTCACGGTCAGGATTAATATACATAGTGGAGAACTCGCGAGTATGAATCCAGGGGTCGTGGTCGAGGCCTGGTCAGGGGTCGGGGGCCAGCGGTCAACTTGGGGCTCTAGATCACCAACGATCGGCCACAAACATGAATCACATGACGAATTCCATGTGATGATCCATATGGCGTGCATGCGGGCTTCGCAACTCTGACCGGAAGCATACATGCGCCGGCAGCTCATCTGGGCTGGCTAGCTGGCGTCTCTCTACGTCGGCAACGGCAGCGCAGCCACACGCACGCCCTGCCCTGACCCACCACACAAACGCCGCTGACGCTCCAAATCTGCGAATCCCCCCCCTCCCGGCTTCGCCCTTCTCCCAGGTCCCAACGAAGGGTCTTCTCAATTCTTAACTCGATAGATATCAACGCGGTATCCGCGGTGGTTGAATGCCAACAGATCAAGATTGCTTACGTGTAGACTCGTCCACTCCGCCGCCGGCGTCGATGTATCTTTCTACTTCGACTAAAATTGGATAGTAAAGTGTTAACAGTACGGACAAAACACAGTCGTGGGAAGGGTCAACAGGCAATGGCTTCAGCTCCGATTTAGGTTCAGTTTCGCACTCAACGAGGGCACTGTGGAATCGGATCCCGTTAAACAGCTTGATGCAACGACGGTTCTTATTTTACTTCTTTGATAGTATACAGGTAAAGGTAGGACATACAATTGTCAAGATGCGCGTAAGGAGACCTATAGGGGAATGTATCACGTGCTGCAGAGCCTCATCGGTACTTGGTGTGACGTGTGACCTCCACCGCCGGTCACAATGCCACCCGCTTGAACACAACACCACAGGAGATTGTGGGAGGCAAGAGATTCCCCAGACCAGACTGTCTCTCGCGAACACCCATACGCAAGACCGCCATGCCGTCGTCGGTCATGTCACCCTTCCCCGTCACGTCTCACTCATCAACCTTCTCGATGGTGCGTTGCCCGTGGCCGCCACAAACGAGCGTTTTCACCTCAATGCTCCGTTCTTCTCCCAATCTGCCGTTGCCGCTTGTTCATTGCGCTGAACCAAATCTGGAACGGGGTAACGGGTTGAGGCATCGCACATCGCGCTTCTGAAAAATCGTGGCCAGAACCAGCATGTCGCGATTGCTGGCGCCACCCAAGCCAGCGCCAATGAACACAGTGATGGTACAAAAGCGGAGACACCTACTTCCCAATGGCTCAAGTGACAAGCATGACCGCAAACCCTCGATCAGACGGGAGGATCTGAAGGCTTACGCTACGAGCACCGTGTCACTAAGCTGGCCGGCCGCGAGCAGATCACACCGGTTCGCAGTGGCCTGAAAGGCTGGAGCCAGATACCCATCCCCCCCATAGAAGTCGGCCACCCCCACTAGTCGGCCAGCCAAATTGTGGGTTCACCACCAAAATGCCCCTTTATTCACCCACACACGAATGAAGCTATTCAGATCGGAGATTTATGGAAGTATTATCATTCGAAAGCGCTGAAGCTGTTTACTTGTACAGTCGTGCGGGCGCCCGAATGGCTCGGCCCGAACGGGTGTGCCTAGGCTCCTGTAGGGCCTCCAAAACCTCCTCTTCAGAGGGTTCATCCTTATTTTCCTCTTTATCCTCCGACTCAATAATCATCGGCTCATGTACTTCTGCGCCTGTATCAGGGCTAATGGTACCTCCATGAGACAATATCTCTGTCACTGTTCTGAACTTCCCGTTAGGATTGGGGATCTTCTTCCGCTTCTTTGGCCGTAGCCGCTCCAATTCAGCCTCCAGAGCCTTGATCTTCCTATCCTTAATCACAACTTCGGTCTCCTTAGCCTTGAACGCGTTAGATATCTTCCTGTACTTCAGTCTGGTCCCTGGGGACTTATTTTTCCCGAAATCCATGATCTGGCGGCTCGTAGTAGGCGTCCGTTGGTCCCCTGGTTCAGAGCTTTCAGGGGTATCAGGCTCGGGGGTCTTTCTCTTCTCTTCTTGTATCTCTGGGTGCTTTAAGCACTTCCTGCGGCTGATAGGATAACATCCAGTGACCTTGAAGCCGGAGAGGATGTTTTGCTTCGTGAAGGCAGCAGGGCTGGCCTTGCTATAGCACCGGATGAAGTTGATCTTGTCAACAGGCGAGGCATCTGTCAAGGAATTCAGCTCAGAGAGGAATTTCTGGTAGTATGCCTTCAGGGCATTATAGGGACCATTATCCAGGGGTTGCATGCCGTGACTAGTATACGCAAGAAAGAAACAGAGCAAGATGTTGTTGAAATAACACATGGTCATGAATTTGTCATATTGGCACCCGTTAGACTATATTAAATCTGGAAAAAATAAAGGAAGTCCCAATAAAATAAGAAGAAACTGTATACGCACGGAGGTGTGGCTCTTGTGGCCATCCAGTATCAAAAGGATCGCTTTGGACTGGTCTCCTCCTCGTTCTGCGTCTGTCTGTGGTATAAAGACATCTTCTAGCCACTTGCAGGCGATGTCATTGGAAGTCCAGCCGTTTTCTGAGCATATATAATGCCAATCGGCAGTCTTTCGGAACTCCTCTATAAACCACTGGGCTCGGAGGTCCTTCCCCTTGAAGATAATGCCTGGTTTGAGAATTTTCCCAGTTGCTGAGATGGTCTCAATGAAGGAGGTCCAGCTACGGCCTTGAGGGCTCTTTAAAAAAGCCTTCTTGGTAGCAGAACTACCTAGAACCAGAGAGTCGATGCCTGTGAATCTTATCAGAATTTCTCCGGAATTAAAGGGGTAGTTATAGCTACCAAAACCCGACATGATGCCGCCCTTATCGATATTGTACGTGTTCTTTGGCTTGACCCAGCCGTAATCTTCGATAATTTCGAAGAACCAGTTGACTGACTTGGGCCTGAACCCCTTGAAGCGTGCTGCTTCCATCCTTTTGCCGATTTTCGTCTTGATCTGGGGGTTGCGGCGCTTAAAAGCTGCCATGAAGGTGTCTCCTAGGGGGCCCTCATCTCCGTTCTTCTTCAACACCTGCTTGATGATCTCACGAACCAGGGAGTGCGAAGGGGCTAAGCCCAGCTTTCCTTGAAGTAAAATCCACTTTGTTATAGTCGTTTCTTGAGCAGGGGAGAGTCTCTGTTGTTGTGTGTGGGCTTGAGTTCTGGTAGGCTTGCCACCGAGTCGATCAGAGAGCGTTTGGTGCGGAATACCGTGTTTTTGAGCGCTTTTTCGCACAGAGAGGCCCTCATCCGTGTTATCTAAGATGGCATTCGCCATCTAATCCTTTGTATACGAATACGGAGGCATTTTGGGCGACTATACGATGCTGCGGTGCATACAGAACAAGGCTTCAGGAGAGCCTTGAAAATCTCCATTTAGGGTAGGAAAAGCGGGGTGATAGCTCCCTAATTACGTAAGTCAGGAGGGGTAAACTCAGCATTGGAGAAAACCTCAAGATCAGGGCTATCTAGAGCACTAAATACATCGTCAATAACTTCAATATCAGGCTGAATCCGTATAAGTGAACATGTAGGAGTTTTGGTGGTGACCCCACAATCTGGCTGGCCGACTAGTGGGGGTGGCCGACTTCTATGGGGGGGATGGTAGGTCACGTTGACGGGCATGTTCAAACTAGCGCTAACACGCCGTGATCTCTGCCAAAGCTGGTGCTGGTGTTGATGCCGAGGCCATGCTGCTGCCCTCAAGAGTGGTGACTGCGACCGCTCGCACGATACCCTCGTTCACCTCTTCAGTCCCAATACGCCATTTCGGCATAGATGCAGACTTAAGAGCCGACTCTGTTGCCTCTGCTGTTTCTGCTATTTCTGCTGTCCTGCCACCTACCAGTCTAACGACGAGCTGTCCGATTTGAACGACACGCCTGTCCATGAAGCATATCGGGCCATCTGCAACAGCTTCCACGGGAGCCTAATCTCTACTTATCGACACAGACTGATAAGAACAACAATTCACCAAGCGCACCCTGAACTCCCACGTATTTTGCAACAACGACGGCAATCCCTTAACCAGCATATCTTCCGCTCGCAAATTATCATCATCATCCATCCCCCTTCCCCGTTGTGTTGATTCCGTTGACTGAAAACGAGAGCATTGAGGTACAGGAATCCAATATAATCGCCAGACCGCCGGACCCAGCTGTAGACGCAGTATACTGTATGTCTTCAACAAGCCTCTGTACTACACGGGTCCTCCAACACTTCTCCCACAGCGACCTCTCCCGAGTAACCGGGTTCATCAGCTACCGCAGATGCCGACTCCACCAGGAAGGATTTCGTGAATACGGCACCAAATTGAATACACGGTTGAGGCTCCGTTCCGCTCCGAAAGAGCCTTGTTTGTTCTTGTCTTTCTTGGGGAGGGAAACGTGCGAGAGAGATCTGGGCTGCAAGATTGACTGCATGGGCGGTTAAAAGAAAGAAAGGCTGCTACTTGGGTCGGGAACTCACAATCCGGACCCGGCGACCATACGGTCGTAGCCATGGTGAGGCAGGCGGAGGATATATACTGCCTATGAGTCTGTCTGTATGAATATCTAGGAAGGGCAACGAGCCACCTGAGAAGCTGGACCATAACAATACAGATCTTTCAAGCTCCCTTTCTAGTAAGAGATGCATCAGCTGGGCAACTTGATATCGGGAGAGATGAGACAAGATGCGTGACACAGCTACGGGCATAACCCTACCCTAACGCATGTCGGTAATGGCGCTGTCGTGCTAGGATGTGCAGGCTAGAACAGATGCCGATGAGTTACTGAAAAGGTTCTCGGAGAAGGCAGCTCGCTCAGTCCTGGCGCACAGAGAGCCTCACGGTGGAGGAGACGGAAACGATACGCTATACTGTGGGGTACCGTGGGTGTACAAGCGTTCGGGCCGGACTGGATGAGAGAGAATGATAGAGAGAGAGAGAGAGAGAGGACAGTATCGATACGTCAACCAAAATTCAACGACGGGCTGAGTAAGCTCGCATCAGATAGAGGCTCCCTTGAGCCCACTGTTATTTCCAGCACTAGCATTAAATACCAAACACTAAAGACCCCCCTAAACCTGCGAGCTCCCATTCTCAACCCAATGCTCCCCACCCCCTATAAGCCTGGTCCCCCTCTCCAAATCCTCCTCCAACCGCTCGCCCTCCTCGCCAGCACCAAGCCACAACTTCCTCGTCGCCAAGATGCCCTCCTCAACATTCCAGGCCCGCCCACCCTCGACGTACAGCGCCCCGCCGTTGATTTTGGGGGAAGCGAGCACGCCGGCGATGACGGCGGCGACGTCGTCGGGTGTGTTGGACGGAAGACCGGCGGCGGCCCAGGTGGGGGCGATGTTGGTGGTGAGGCGCGTGCGGGTCATCCAGGGGCAGATGGCGTTGGTGCGGATGCCGGTGTTGATTAGGGGGCTGTAATTATTAGTACTGAAACTCAAACTGGCAGTGATAGATGGAAACCGGGAAGATAGATCTTGGGTGTTGTGTGTTGTAGAGGATTGGAGGATTGCTGGACGGAAGGACGGAAAGACGCACCCGCGTAGGGAGCGCATTAACCCCAGAACGCCGTGCTTGCTTGCGGTGTATACGTAGAGCCTAGATATAGCGACGGTTGTGAAGATTAGCATATGTACTTAGTAAGTTGAGACACTTACTCCCCCGTGGTTCTGGGACTGAGTATCCGTCGATGGATGTAGGTAAATACGCACCCAGGATCTTCCCGAAAGCCTGCAACACTGCTCACGAGCGTCAGACTCCTATCCCCCTTTTGTTCCCCACCTCCACCTTCACCTCCACATTCCCCTCCACCTCCATCCTCACCATCCTCACCACCCTCACCCCTAAACACACCATCCCTATCCACCGGCCCCTGCCGCAGATAAACACTAGCAATCCTTGCACAATAAAGCGCCCCCTTCAAATTAACATCCAAACACCTCATCGCCCCAACCGGCTCCTCCGCCACGTCCTCTAGCGACAACCCCGCATCGAAGAAACTGGGTTTGCCCTGCTCGCCTAGTCCGGCATTGGCGATGGCATGGTCGATGCGACCGCATGTCTCGTGGGCTTTCTGAAATAGGGCTAGGTTTTCCTGGTAGTTTGTTACGTCGGTGTGGATGAAGACGACTTTGGGTTTGGGTGGGGATGTGGATGTATGTGGGGGAGAGGGAGAAGGATTGTCGGTGTTGGTGTTGCTCTCGGTGAGTTCGTCAGCAAGCGCCCGCCCGGCGGCATCGAGGACGTCGCCGAAGAAAACGTGCGCGCCGGCCGAGTGGAGGAGGCGGACGACGGCGGCTCCGACGCCGAGGGCGCCCTACCGTTTGGAGGTCTCAGGTCAGTATACCATACCAAACCATACCATAAGTATCGGATGCGACCGGCCTCTTTGACATTTAGGGGGATTAGCTAGGTAAATAGGACGTACGCCTGTTAGGACGACTACTTTGTCCTTTAGCACGGAGATATCGGGAGGATGGAATTGGGTCGTCATGGCGGGTTCTTTGCCCTCCTTCACAGCAGAAGCATGCGAAGAGGAGACGGAGACGGATAGATGCTCCACCATATGTCTATGTGTCGTGAACGTAGACCAGCCGACCTACAGGCATTTGGGTCACCCGATTTGTAAGCCGAATTACAGCCTTTTAATTAGTCATTTAAAAGCGAGTTCGCTGCAAAGAAAAGATTAAAAAATCAGGTTATTATCGGTTGTATTGTTTTTAAAAGTTTAAAAATTAATCTTATTTTTAATTTTGCTTATAAGATAAATTTAATAAACATTAAAAATATTTAAATATAATATATGTAATTATGAACTTATTTTATAATAATAAATATTATTATATTATATTAACACAATAACAATTTATATATATATAATTAACGTAAATAGTATTTAATAAATAAAAGCTACTTTATACTTAAATTTCTCATTCAATCATAGTTAAAATATTTAATCTTTAAGTTTGATTTTTAATTTAAATATATTATATTATAGAGTACAAATTCAAGAGGAAATACTATTCTATTAACCTTAATTAATATAACATGAAAAACTTTCTTCAATAAAAGCATTTTTTCCCATTTCCCCTCATTTCCCCCCATTTTTTAAAACTGATATAATTAAAGTATTATTTTAGTATAATATTAGTCATCATTACAGCAATATAAATATAATAACTATATTAATTTATTAAGACATCTTTATTATTACTTTAACATTATATTCAATATTATATTTAATATATATTTAATAAATGACGTAGGTCACAAGCGAGCGGGACACACAAGCGGGTGGGACACTTTTACTAACCTCCTAAACTTTTAACTTCTAACCAGTATTTTACTACCCAAAACAATGGCACCGCATTATAACGAATCAGTCATGCAGCTAACTTCGGAAGAAAGCACTTCATACTGGCTAACGAGTTCGGCCAGCTGTTTCTGGACAAGGTCTGAATCTGAATGGTTGTTCGAGGATCGCTGCCAGTCGCGTCGTTCGTCCTGTTGTCGCTTCTGGGTATTTTGGATTTCTGTGAGTTGCTTGCGTCGCAGTTCTATGACCTCCTCGAACTCGCCGATCACCGAGTCGACGTCAGTATCCGCTCTGTCCGCGCCAAGAATGGTGCATGGACCTGGCGACAGCCGTAAATAAGAAGGAAGTATACAGCTCCTCCCTTAAAGGTCTCAAGGCTGCTCACGTCACAGACACTGAAGCAGGCAGCCAGTACAGGCTTCCCATCTCTGTCTCTCGTGTGTCTGTGTACAGCTGTCCTTACGTAAACCTGTCCTAAGGTATCCCGTTGTCTTTTCACAACAACATCTCATCATGATTAGCCCTCTTTGATTGCCAGACCGACTCTGGCAAGTTGCGCTTGTCACACAGCATCACCGTCACAGGTTCCATGTGCCATCGACGGTGGTATCGCTGAGGTGAAGGGAGGCAGTATCGTGGTGTTGTCAACATTCTGGGATTGGTCCGTGCACGGACTGCGGCTGGGCTCAGGCATGCCAAGCCAAGCCTTTCAAGTTACAGGGCAGTTACGTGCTAGGCGCGGGTGCGGGTCGAGGCCGATACCCCGCGTAATGATCACAATCCCCGCTTCAAGCAGATCCTCCGCCTTGCCAGTGCTTATTTCGCCCTACTAGTTACATCGTATCGTCACTAAACTGGGTGGACAAAAGTCTCCGCCCGACCCACCACAATCTCCTTCAGATCAAAACAACGCGTCAATCACCCTTCGACTTCACCACTCTCTCAACACCGCAATTAATAATGGATTTACGATCTTTTGGGGACGAATTAAGCGGTAATCGCGTCGCTAACGGCAAATTCACTTCAGAAGCTCGCTCGGCAATCGTGGTGGCGCAAATCGACAGCAGAACGCATAGGGATGTTACAACCGCGTTTAAAACAAAGCGCCTGAAAACCATCTCCGGTATTACTACCAACTTTGAGGCCACTTCTATACCGAAATCTGCCCCAAGGAGCGGTCGCCCACCCGTTTTGAATACTCGCAAATGCGCTCATATGATCGAAAAGGCGAGAGAGCTCCCCAGGGCGACGTGGCCAGAAGATTCGAAACAAAGCCTGCGTTTCGTGCTCTCTTAAGACTATCAAGAGGATATGTCACACATACGGCCTCCAGAAGTGGCGTGCAGCAAAGCGAATCAAGCTCACAGATAAGGACGCTCAGAAAAGGCTCGCTTTTACCAATTATTATAGCACACCAGAGCGCCTGGAGGAGTTGTTGCGAGCTATGTTCTTAGACGAATGTACGGTCCAAAACTCATCCGATAATCCAGGCGATTGGGCCATCCGGTTCTCTTCAGAGCGGTACCGTTATGATCTTGTGAACGAGACGGATCACGGCAAATCTCGTATTTCGATAATGGTGTGGTCTATGATCTGGCTACGCGGCAGAGAAAGAGGACTAGGCAAGTTGGTCTTCTGCCCACTCGATCCGGATGCTCCGCGCGGAGGAGTATCCACAGAGTCATAAAAATGGGTTCTTGAGGAAGGCCTGCTTCCGTTCTACGAGGCTGGAGATCCTTTTGTTCAAGATAATGCGAAAATTCACCTCACTGGCGGTGTTCCGGAGTGGATAGAGGAGCACGGCATCCACTGTATCGGCTGGCCTCCTCACAGCCCCAATATGAACCTAATCGAGCACGTTTGGCGACTTCTGAAGAAGAACATACGTGAAATCGAGCCTGAATTTTCTGAATTGAAGGATAATATCCCCCATTATCGCTACATACACGAGTTAATTGAGCAGGCGTGGTCAGAGATTGATCCGGAGCAGGTTCGGGCCTTGATGGAGTCACTGGAGGACCGAATAGCTGCAGTGAGGCGCGCCGGTGGTTGGTATACACACTATTGACTTAGTTATTAAATACAATTTATTTGAGAATTCTATCACCAGAATTGGATGCGTTATGGTTCAATTGAGTTGGAGGGTATAGTAGATGGAAGGGGTAAAATTGGGGATCGGGCGGAGACTTTTGTCCACGCATTGTAACACCTGCCCATAACTTACGCTTAGGCGCGTATATACATACATTTAATACTCCATCTGCCAACACCTAGCAGGAAACGACGTTCGCAGCGGCAAGCTCTGACCCGATCACCATGTGCGGCATATGGAGGCTTTTGTTAGGCTCTAGGCATGCTTTGATACGAAGCCCACAGTACGCACTCCCGCCCGACATAGCCCACCTGCATCCAACCCTCCCCGTTACATACCACCGCACACTTCTTGCATCATGACCCCGTCTTTCCAAACCAGCAGGGTTAAGTGGGTTGTAGTCGGTCACGGCCTGAACAAATGATGGGGTTGAAGGGACCAAAACTGGCATATAGGTGGAATGGTGAGGATGTCGATGCTCTCGTGGGTGCTGGGCATGTGAACAATAGGGCCGACAGGATCTCGTCAAGTTCATTCTTCTCAGGGAGACATTGCCAAGGTGATCCACCTGGAACAGAGGTACGGACCTAAAGCTGATCCAGTCCCCTTAATATTCGTGTAGCATAAGATCTTGCAACTAATCGCTTGTTGTTTTACGTCTTTTACACCATGATGGACATTGCACATTTTGTGCTATAATGCAGACGAAACTACATAATTAAAAGGCGGCCCTGAAGCTGAGAGTCGCGCAATTGGTTCTTATTCAAGATGCCCAATTTAAGCAGAAAAACAAGGCAGCGACTATCACAGACGTATCTTATTTAGATTTCTGTGGATGATCTTTCCAGCTTTTCCCACAGCTTTGGCAGCTACTGTCCAGCATTTTTTTTATCGTTGGCCAAATATTAGTGAGTTTGGTGAGCTTCTTGTAATGGCAGCAAGCTAACTTCATGACCATCTTGTGACGAGCCGTCTAACCTATAAGGCTAAAGAGTTCTATAAGGTTTATGTTCTGAGGTAAGTCAACACAAAAGACGATAGAGGCTTCTGTCAACTAGAAGACACTCAGATGCTGGGGCTTGGTCTGAACTGGGTTCACTGCGTAGTCGAGTCGTCAGGAGATTTCTCCCACCTTAGTGTTGGCTAAGATGCTTAGATTGATCACTGAGGTAGAGACTGTCTATCTGTCTAGCTAGGACTGTCCATCCTTATATATCCAATCTCTCCCTCACTGATGAGGTGTTCTGCTCTTGGCTCACTGTGATCCCGTGAGCCTGGATCACCGTGAGCTCGTGAGCCTGTGCCCCTGGTCACGTGATCCGCGCAATCGTTATTCCGTGCGTAGTGTCCCCATCGATCCTCTACCAATGGTTCCTTGTCTGGCCTGCCAACGGGCCGCTGTACTTGTTGGTTCGTAACACTAAGCCTTATAAGATTGGCATACACATCGTCCTGAGCTGATACATACGGCCAGATTCAGCAGCATAACGGGTCTCTGTCCTTGGAGTAGGCAGCATTTGCGGGCTGTGAAGCAAGCCATAAAAGCAACGAGCCAGCCTCGGGCTGTGACGCAAAGGGACAGACTTGCATAATGGGAGCGCGAGTTCTGTCGGGGCGCGGAGCGGCGTCTGTCACAGTCCCGGAGACCGGGTTACCTCTAACATGGGTGACTTGAGGCTGCGGGTCGTGGGAGCGAGACAGAGCCGATCAATGACGATCAAGCCGGAGTGTACGAGTCATCTGTTCAAGCAGATATCGGGTCTATTTTATATGCATAAGAACTAATGCTTGCACCCACGCAAAGTCTCATAATCCCAACACAGAGACACTACGCGACGGGTTGCTGCACATTGGATTTGTGCGAAGCTGTGGATCCTTGTTTGCCCTGGTCTGATCAGCTGGGGGCAGCTGCCGGGGAGACCAGGCACCCCACTACTGAATTACTGTACATAAATACCTCCCCTCTCATACTAATCAGTTTACGAGGTTACCGGATGCACGTATGGGGGCTGTAAACCAGATTAGGCAAGTTTCTTGCCGCAGCCATCAGCACGCTATCGCGGCATCCGTCAGCGGCTAAATGCATTATGCACTAGAGGCCCAAATAAGAACGTTTCTGGCCGCAACGCGTCTGCATCAGCGTTCCCGGCTGGCAGGGGCTTTCGAACTTGGCAGTGCATGCAGGTCTCGGTCGCATTCCTAGTCCAGCCGCCAGCGCATCTCTGCACCCCGCCAATCCCTCTCCGCCTTCCGCCCACATACCTACTACATGTAGGTATCCAACCACCATGGGTGTGATGAAGCAACCCTCAGATTCAATAAGCCTGAAATCGCCGAACCATGATCTAGGTGTGACGTTCCTCGCAGAACCCACGGTCGCCGTCATCGAGAGCTCTTGGAGTCCCTACAAAGTAAGCCGCGTCACTATGGCAAAGCAGGTGTATGAGACCTTTGCTGGCAGCCATGTCACCGATGCCATGCTCGTCGAAGCTGCGAAGCTCTTCAGCGAGAATTATGGGATCTGGGGCGAACGGTCACACCAACCAGGTACGCACTGCGATACCCTTCCCTTCTCGCTTTCGCCTCTAATGGCTTGCCAGGAAAGCATGTCATGCTCAGTGCTCCTCGACTGCGATCGCAATACCTCCCCAGTACGGCTGCGACCTCCTATGTCAGGGTAGTGGTTGATGGAACCCTTGCCGGAAATGTGTTCGCATGCCGCTGGGAGTATAAAGGCAAGACAGTTTGTTGGGTTACGCAATTGGTGGTGGACAAGGAGTACCGCGAGCGTGGGCTTGCAAGCGGGCTGTTGAGATCGCTCAGGCTGAACGTGGACGACGTGTACGGAATCATGAGCTCGCACCCGGCCGCGTGTCTGGCAGCTGCTGCTTGCTTCGGGAGTAAGTGCAACTGGTCGTCGAATACCAGAACATCATCCTGACCTGGGGTAGCGACTATCGAGAAAGTACCACTCGACTTCATTGCCGAAAATGCCGACCTACTCATGAAATCCTCGCCAATACGCTACATCCACGATGCAAAGCTGTGTGGCTCCCTCTTTAACACCGAAGACTCCACGGGGCTTGTTTCAGGGGTGGACACCGGCTTCTTTGTAGATCATGGGGAGCCACTGGAAGCATTAAGTCTCGTTCGGGAAACCTGGAACTGGCCGCTTGGGGAGCTGCCAGATGGACACGAGTATCTACTCATCGTACAGGGCAAACATCGCCGGTCAAGATCTCGATCAGTGCCCAAATCAACTGATCAGCATTTGTCTGGTAATTGAGTGGGTTGACCGGTCACTTGGTACGATTATAACTAGAAAGCACATGATACTCGTACAGACCAATCGATTACTCCTCCAGTTTCCTAACAGGTAGCTCGTGTAGAAAAGCTAGCAGGCAGGCCACCACAAAATCACCGCTGTGCAGTCGACCCCGAACACTACTTATACACCGCGCTTGGTAGGTAGGTCACGCTGTGAAAAAGATATGTCCCCATACCTGGAATCAGGAACTGAGGGCGCCTCCTGCTGATCACTCTCATCGCGTCGCGGAAGCTTTCCATGCTCCTGTTGGTATCCCCCAGTGTGTACCAGGTGACGCAGACAAAGAGGTGCACCACGCCGCAGGTAAATACCTCCTCCTCCAAGAGGTTGTAAAAGCTATTCCAAGCCAGCACATCCTTCCACCTTTGCAAGGCTACCTCCAAAGTTGGGGATACCCGAGCAAAGCCAATAAGTGACCTGACATGGCCAAGCCGATCGATTATGTCTAGTGCCTGCACATTGCTGTAAATGACTAAAAGCTCTCTAGCAAGGCTGTCGGCATCGTGATGTTGACCCTGCTTGATTTTCACCTCGAGAAGCCAAAGAAGCAGCCGCCGATACCCTCTGCGGGACTGGCAGGAGTGTAGTCTCAACCGCTGGACCTCCGGTCCGACTATTGCTTCGGCCTGAGAGAGATAGCACGTTTGTTGGCCTGTGCTAAGATAGTCCAACTCACAGCAGAGATCAGCAAGAGCTGACTTGACGAGGAAGCGCTTGGGTTCGTTCAGTCCGGGTGTCGCAAGGCATGCGTCAAAGCATGCCTTTGTCTGTTGAAAATGGCCTTCCCCCCGCATGACACGGCCGACACAAAGCACTTGGTCCCAAAGGAGCTGCTCCTGTCGTCCAGAAAGATCCATACTGGGTGTCCATCTCATGACTTCTCCGTGTGCCTTTGCGAAGTTGAAGTGGCATGCATAGTTGGTAGCTTGCGATAGATACAGGGCTGCAAGGTCTTCATTTGTTAAGTCGTGGGTCCCAGCTGTTAGGCTTGAAAGGAAGGCCTGAATGGCGTGCTCGGAGCTGCTGATGTTACCTTTGAGACGCATCGCAACGCTCTTCTGATGAATTATTTCGGCCTTGAGCTTCAGAGATCGATGAGGCTGATCCAGCTTTTCGGCCAAGTAAAGAATCTGTTCCTGGATGCCCACAGGGTTGGATTTAGATGCCGCTATTAGAGATTTGATAAGGTCTACCGGCACACTGGATTGCGGAGAGTAACTCGATATACTTTGGGAAGAGTTAGAGACAGTGTGTTTCGAGGGAGTGACAGGGTAGAACAAACAGGTTGCTTAACTCTATGGGAAGTTCTTTGGATAAAGACCGGACGTACTCCCACATAGCAAGCTGGAACCGATAGGCACGCATTTTTAGTCAACGGGTCAACATGCCGAGGCTAACATATTGACTCTGTTCGCATATCTTGTCACCCTTACTACTCTGTAAGGTGCACGCTTTGGGTCTCCGATGTGCCCTCCCCTAGCAGGAATGCTTCCTTCTGTAAGCTTTGTGGCAAGTCGTGCACTTATGCAGAAACCTGAGTTGCAACATAACGGGATTTTAGTGCAAGCTTGGGCCCAGTGAGAGAGGCCTGGCGCCAAAGGTGTGTGATGTTGTGCTATGTAGTGATGTGTTCAAAAAGCCGGGTCCCTTAACGTCACACACAGTGACAGTGTTGTGGAAACCGAGGGCGGTGTCAATCATGCTGGTAGCCGGTCAGTATGACGTACGGAGACGAATGTGGGACCAATGGAAGGCATATAAGAAAAGATGTTCTTTGGCATTAATGGCACGCTGCAAGAGCGGTGACACACTAGAGGATGATGGCGCGCAAGGGCAGTTGGATGTAGGTGGGAGAAGATGTAGCCCAGCATTATCAAGTTCAAGAATCAGTCCCACACTAGCTTACGCACAGACCATAGACCCAACCAAGCAAGGTGGCAGTCTAGGGCGCCGTCCAGCCGCAGCTGGCATATAAGCCCTCGCCAAAATCCCGAACCCTGGCCGGGGTGCATATGTGCAGAACATCCCTCGACCTCGCAATCCCCTACCACACTCTCAATCAAGTCTCCAGTCCCCTGTCCAGCAGACACGATAATCCTTTCCGTTGTGATCGATATTGAATGCACATTGATAATTGAAAGGATAGACAAAGTAATGGGTAGTGGCTCCATCGTGAGCATAACTCATGGGGTAGGAGATTGAAAAGCCTGGTCGTAGGAATATGGGTAGATGGATCGGAAACCCCAAAGGGTTATGTGGTGCCAGATAGGAAAGAGGCAAATCTTGCAGCGCATAGCGATTCATGCACGGATGATTCTAAAGCCGCGATTTTATCATGCTAACATTACAACCGATGTTTTACCGCTGAGTGACAAATTCGCCACCACCCCGGCCATTACACCGCTTTCTGTGTTGGCGCTGAATTACGTCCATTCGGGCGTCCAGTATCTATCACTAAACTCGGCAGTGCCGCTGGGTTGCCTCCTGATTTTATTGAGGACCAACATCGGCACCAACGGCGCGATGCAGTGGGGCGTCGTGAACCAGATCTCTTGCCAGTGTCAGAGTCGCGTGGAAGCAGCCGGGTGCTTTGCCCCATTTGACGACTGCGGGGTAGGACCCCTGCCCCGCAATGATCGCATAACCCCAACATCATTAAGTCAACCTAAAACTATCAGCTAAATCCGCAACTTATCCGAACCGCAACCCCGTACAGCCGCGCCGCGACGTCTCGCAGCAAGGGTTTTTGGAATCGGCTTATAAGACGGGCTCTGTGAAAGTTGTTGAAGCGAGTGATAATGTTGAAGATATGTAAGGTTGTGCCAGAGTCGAGGATTGACGAGTTGAGTAAGGGTTAAAGAGCGGTTATATAAGGGGACTTTGTGTTATTTGCTAGGTAAGATGCTGCTGTCTTCTTTGCGTGTGTTGGCATATGTTGTACTCTCTCACCCCTTTCCACGAGTCAATCACGCGGTGTCTGTCTCTTGGAAATTTGTGCCACTTCCTCAGATAAATTGTTGTCCCTTTCAAGCAGTATCTTGACCATTTGCTCCACACCATGGTGGACTTTCTATCCATTTAGTCGCTTGTTTGGGAAGAGGTAAAAACTCTCTGTGAAGTGGTGCCCTTTACAATAGCATCCCTTGCATGTTTGAGTGGTTGAGGGAGCTTTTTTATCTGTCTTGGCCCTTTTTGCTAGAAGCTCCCTGACTTCCTCCTCTGAAACCTCTTCTTGAGCCCCCTTATTGTCTCTGGTTGTTGTTTCCTTCACCGCGGCCTCTGCCTCTTACGTCTGATTGTTCTTGAGGATGCTCTTCTTCTCTCTTGTTTCTAATTGAGTCTCTTATTGAGTCTCCTATATTGTCAGGCTGTTCTCCATGAAGGGTTGGGAAACCCGCTTTTCATCCCTTCAAAGAATTAGTAATGGAGCGCGTTGTTATCCATGCCATCATCTAAATGCCGACATCTGCCATGGGATCGCCACTGTCGTTGTCCATGATCCACCAGGTGGTCCGGTTACAGCCAGGGGGGCGGGCCATCTCTTGCAAGACCCATTCTGCCTCGTCCCAAAACGATGAAGCGGCCAAAGCCATTACCTCATCCATGCCAACCTCCTGGGCTTCGAATGCCATCAGCAGCCTGGCCAGCAGCTGAGGAACAACGTCATCCGTAAGCCCATTGCGGAAGGCAAATGCTGTCAATCGAATGTTCTATAGGGTCTGTCATATGGACTGACGGTCCCATCGTTGTTGGCGTATAGAAAATGATGCTATTGAGGACTGCGTGCTGGGTGGTACTTCTTGCCACAGCTCAAACAGCAAGCCAAAGCCGCATCCTTAACTCTTGCCGTTTGATAGCTAGTAATATCCATCATATTAAACAGGGGCGGAGTTTTGGATGTAACATAGATGGTGGTAGTATCAAGGGTGTCAGAGGGCAGGTCTGTAGATAAGGCGTTGCGTGGATCGGGTTTGATAGAAAAGGATATTTGGAGCCAAGTCTCTATACGCACATCTAGTTAGTAGTTGTAATATCAAGGGAGGGGAGGAGCAGAGGAGCTTGTGACCGAAACAAAAACATATTGACAAGACCGGCTGATCTGAAACCCTACCTGCTAATTGGGAGCACAATGGTTATATAAAAGGTGGTTATGATTAAATGGGTAGCGGAGGGGTCAAAGACAGGTAGTGAAGCCAAAGGAATAGCGCCTCCCCTCAGCCTCGCACAATGAGGTAGTGGCTGTATAGCTTGCGCCTGCCACAACGAGCACAGATTAGCAATATTCTTGTTACAACGCGTATAGGACAACCGTTGCGCCATGAGGCAAAAGCTTCAACAATGACCCGAACGGTTATTGACTCCTATTTCTGTACCATATGCACTACTCCGCACAGCGACCCACTGTGCGACCGTAACAATTCTGCCAATGTCGTGGAATCTGTGCTGACAAAGTACGTACCTTTTCTGCCTAACCCTACTAAGGTACATACCAATTCTACCACACCTAGCCGTAGGTACGTACCTTTTCTGCTCATCCTATTCTGCTGGCATAATGACAGTACGTCCCTTTTCTGCCCATCTTATTCTGCCAGGCATAATGATAGTACATACCTTTTTCTACCTATCTTATTCTGCTGGGTATGACAACATACGTATACTTTCAGCTGGTCTTACTATGTCACGGCCTGCCACGTGACCCATGATACCAATTTATTGACTTGTTTTTCTTAATAAAGTCACACTAATTAAACGTGTATAACAAGGAATACACACTGCATAAAATCAATATCTATCAAACGAAAGCGCCCTTTAAACTACAAAGAATTGTGACAAAGACAATAAAATGCCTTATAAATAAGCTTCCAACAAGATACTATTTACCCTGTTATATTTCCCAGCCTTCCTTTGACATAATGGCCCAATGCTGTGAGACGGCCCCTTTACTTTGGTGCAACTTCTTTACAATCCATAATCATCCCTTTTCTTCTGCCAGCCACCCCCGTAGTTGAAGTTATTTGAGTTCTGTTCATTGACTTCTCTTGACCACTATATCGTCCTCTTTTTCTGAACAGGCACTTTGGTCCGAGAAAGAGTCATAGCTACCTGCCTGGCTTTCTGTATTGCTATTGCTCTCAACGCTTTTGATGCGTCCGTTTTGCATGCTGTATAGAGGTATTGGTGTCATAAAAAGAATAATAGAGGGGCTGCGAGTCACACCGTCATGGAAGCGGTTCATATCTGCAGCCTACCCGTCTTGGGCAAGTCTCTGAGTGGCATGACTGCGAATGAAACCAAGAAATAGCTGCATTATGGCCATACTGTTCTCTTTTTTATAGAGAGTTTTTGTAACGGCCTGCATAGACCTTCCCACATGACAAGCGGATACTTCCCAATAGGGGAAGGATTTGACCAAAGGATCCCCTTAAAGGGGCAACCTCCCACTGTACCTATCTCTCTCTCTCTCTTCCTTTGTTCTCTAGTCTTGATATTCTCTTTAATAAAATAATAACTGCTTACTGCAGGCCATGTCCCAGCTCCCCAGTATGCTCGCTGTGACATAATATCAAGACTCAACCATACCAGATCAGAAGCCTTGTCTTCAGATCACCACTGCAAGGAGTTTTGCCTCTAGCGGTTGTCACGGCGAGCATACTGGGGAGCTGGGACATGGCCTGCAGCAAGCAGCTATTACTTTATTAATAAGAATATCAAGACTAGAGAGGAAAGGAAGAGAGAGAGAGAGATAGGTACAGTGGGAGGTTGCCCTTTTAAGGGGATCCTCTGGTCAGATCCTTCCCCTATTGGGAAGTATCCACTTGTTATGTGGGAAGGTCTGTGCAGACCGCCACAGCCGTCACAGCGGTGGCAGGTACAGTGTCTCTGAACACCCACCTATCCCAAGGCTTTGAAGCTCTGCCTTCAGGCCTATTAATACCACCGCTTTATCATTCCACCTACCACTATTACCAATTCCGTCCAATACACCGTGACGATGAGTACTATTATTATTCCAGAATGTCAGGATAGTTCTGAAGGGACTGGAAGACCAGTCCAACCTACCCAAACACCCCCTGACATCAATAACCTTCTCTTAACAAAAAGAAAGAAGAAATAGAGAGCCAAGGCACAAAGGGGCCAGAGCAAGCCAAACACGCAATGAAAGGACGCTTTGACCTATAGCTAATCTCCCTCAAACGCTTCATCGTCTCTATCTTCCTCTAGGACCACATTCCGAGACCCACGGACCCAACCTAGCTCGCCAACCATGAGCGGTGCTCTGTGGCGATCGGACGAACCCTTGCTCTTCAACCTAGATGTGCTTACGCCAGAGCAGCTAGCCAGAATGTAAGCTGAGCTACACACTCGGATCCCTAGGTTTGAGCCTGCAAGGCATACAACGGAACGGCAGTCTGTATATTTCAGCGCACTACAAGATGAACGAGCCTTTCCTTCCTTGGAAACGGGTTCTCTATGTACAACGACCTCTAGGTGGGACTCCCTGCCTTCCATGGCGTCAACCTTGAATGCCATGCGACATTCCATCAAGCTAGCAGACCCTGCAAAGCTAAGCAATGGTCAAAACCCAACCTTTGAACAATGAAAGAACAGCACTTAATGCAAGCTACGGACCAACTGGTGGCTCTTCCTTACTGAAGAATCAAAATTTGACTGGCTTTGTACGCTAATAAAAGGTGATGCAGCTATAATATTGGAACCATTCATCTCTGAGGAGAACGCCGAGTCACTTACTACCATTGAGGAGGTGTATGACCTTCTCCGGTCCTATTATAGCAATCCTGATGCGGCTGCTCAAGCCAGGGATCAGCTCCATGATCTATGGATGGAACTGTCCCAAGACTCCCATACCTTTTGTTCCACATAGGTTCTCTTAACCAGCAAGACAGGCCTGTCCCGGACAGAATGGAAGTATGAACTGAACCAAAAGCTGACACCACCCATAAGGATACAAGTGATGGCTTCTTACCTTGACTCTAATGTTTCTTTTAACTAATTTTGAAACATCTATTCTAGCATTGCTTAACAGCTTGTAGAGATTAAATAAGTCAAGAAATAGCGCTAAAGCTTCTTAAAAGCTTCCTCTTGCCATACCATCACTGTGGTACCTAGACCCCAGCAGTTTATCAGAAGCCTATCAACCCAAGCTTTGTCCAACCAAGTAATTGACACTATCTTCTAACCAGCAAGAGCATTACTTGATCAGAAGACTCCCCATCTCTCTGCAGCCCCTGAAAGGAAGCACATTGACTGATCACACACACCCCACAAGACAGAAAGTATCACATGCTATTTGTGTAACAAAGAGGGTCATATTGCTCTTAAATATACAGACAAAAGAACTCCTTATGTATATTTTCTGGAAGAAGACAATGAGACCTCTTCTGGTCTGACCCAAGATGTTACTTCTGACAGCCAGTCAGAAAACTCAAAGGCCTAGGGAAAGTCTCCCACCTAGGCCTCCAATGTACTATTAATCAACTGGCTCACCACTCTCTTGAAATTCCATCATTTTGATCAGACCTCTCTGGCTTGATTGGCGGCAGTACCTTTGTGATGACTGCAACCATCCGATGGAATGGAATTGCAGTGCGTGTGAAAGTTTTGATTGATACCGGAGCAGAGGTTCACAATGGGAAGATCAAGAGAAACGCCCGCAGAAGATACTACGTCGCCTCCAAGTGCTGGCTACATGGGCAAGAGACCATCATCAGTCCTTACAGGCTATGAAAGACCAGTTAGCCGGACGGGACCACCCAGCATCCTTGCAAAAGACTTCCCCACGCCAGGCTGTTCATCCCAAGGTTAGCAAAGACGCAATAGTGAACGCTCTGGGCGCGGATATCCACCTAGTCTCAGGCAGTACCTTCTTTAGACGGGCTAGTCACCATCAGAAGGGGCAATATCAACGACACAGCTACGGAAATGTGTTCTCTTTTTCAGTATATGAGCTTGATCAAGCCATTAATTACTTTATTGATAAAGAGGACTCAGAAAATCAGTACTTACTATGCAGCAGGCTTCCCCCAGAGGCACAAAATTTTATGGATATATTTTCCAAGACAGAAAGCAATGAACTACCCCCTTTCCGCAAGGATATTGACCACAAGATTGAGCTCAAGCCAGGGGTCAAGACTCTTTGCCTACACCCCTTATATAGCATGAAGACCGACCACCTTATTGCCTTCAAGCAATATCTGACCGAACACTTGTGTAAAGAATGGATTGTTTCTAACAAAGCAGAGTATGGGTCTTCTGTTCTCTTTGCCAAAAAGCCAAATAGAGGCTTGCGTTTCTGTGTTGACTACCGCAAGCTCAATACTCAGTCAAAAAAGGACCGTTACCTGCTGCCACTAATCAGTGAAACTTTGGAACGTCTATCTTGCGCTAAGCTGTTTACCAAGCTGGATATCAGTGCGGCTTTCCATTGAATCCGCATGGATCCAGCCTCTGAGGATCTCACGACCTTCCGCACGCGCTTTGGCCAGTACAAGTACAAGGTGCTCCCTTTTGGACTTTGCAACGGCCCAAGTACCTTTCAGCGGTATATCAACAAGGCCTTGTTTCCATATCTGGACGAGTTCTATACAGCCTATATGGACGATATTCTGATCTT